AGAGTGTATTGGACGCAAGCCGTGACCTTTTGGTGCCTCTCCTGCTCCTGACAGCTCTGTGAGATGGTGAAAGTTCAAGCTCTGACATTTGCGAGATGTGCAAAGAAAGTTTAAGCGAAAATTCAATGGAAAAATTGATGTAAAGCAATCAATTTTAGAGGGAAAGGGCAACAGGCTTTAGAAGAGTATTGTAGATGCAGTTTGAGAGGCTTTTGAAGAATTTTAAATTCTCTACAGTGTAAGAAAATTTAATAAATATTTTAAAAAGATTAAACAAACATTCAAAATAAATACTTCTTCCAATTGCATTTGCTTTGCCTTGCTCCCATTTACCACTCAAAAGTATCTCTATTGAAACTCCTGTAGCACCTCTCTCTCTCTGTCTCTCTCGCTGCTATGCAAACGCACTTTGACCTTTTGCATACACACCTTTCACTTGTCTCTCTTTCTGTATGGCTGCCTGTCTGCTCGTTTCGTTCGCTTTTCTTTCTCCAATTTTGGCTTTTTCGCCGAAATGTCATCAAACCAACGCGCGCGATGTCGGCCGGGGGGCTATTGTGGTTGTCGTTTCCGGCTTCAACTGAATTCAATGTTTATCTGAATGTGGAAACTGTCTCTGGTCTTTGCTCTGGTAAAATGTTAAAGTTAAATCAAAAGTCTCCGCCGCCGCAGCCGCCATCATGCCACACCACACGGAGGAGGTGAGAGCTTTATGCAAATCCTAGCACACACACACACACAGAAAGAGGTCCTAAACGCAAAATGCTACTAAGCCCACTTACTTACAATTTAGCAAAGAAAATAAAAACCAAAGAGAGAGAGCAGCACACACACAGAGAGAGAGAGAGAGAGAGAGAAAGAGAGAAATCATATTGCGAAAAACGAGAGTGTAAAATTCTTTATTTTTTTGCATAGTAGTACATCCCATAAAAACGGAGGGCAACAACGAAAGAAACGAGGAGCAAAACGTAGCGTAGCGGAGGAATAAAACAACAAGCAACAACAACAGCAAGCAGCAGCAGCAACAAAAACTGAATCCCAGAGCTTTATGGCACACACACACACACACACAGACCGACAATACACAGACATACACTCGTATAACACTTGACTTTATTCGCAAGTGCCTTAATAGTGTGCGTGTGTATCTGTGTGTGGACTACTTTCTGGTTCTGTGCGGGCGTTCGGCACAAAATCCAATCAACATAACGAGCTACAAGCGCCGCTGAGCGCCCCGGCATAAAAACGCAAAAAAAAAAGAAGATACATACATATATGTACAGGCATATACACAAGTGGTGTGTGTGTGTGTAGTGGTTGTGCGTGTGTGTGTGATGTGTGATTGTGTGTTGGAAACACTGGAAGAAATTATGTTGCAAGGGGATAAGGCCCCTTAAGCCCCAAAAGCCCCCCCTGGAACCCCCAGCCAAGCAATGAATGGAATCCCCCATTGAATAATCTTTTCAAAATTGTGATTGAAGGAACTTATGTCGGGGATTTTGGTATAACAAAAATATGAATAAATGTGAAATAAATCTGATAGATTGGTGCTCTAAGGATTCAGCAGTGTCAGCAGTGGAATCCTTGGGAATAAGTCCTTTTGAATTTAATGAAAATATTGAGAATAAATATGGGGCGTACGTTTTTTGATGCTGTTCGATCACTGTCTGTGGCAACATGTTCGATCATTCCTGCTGCTCTCTCCCAGTGTGACTTTTCTATTATTAGTTTCAATTATGACATCTCTGCCAGAAATCTAACAAAGCAAAACATTCCCCCCCTCCCCAACCCAACTCCAGTCATAATCAATCTTTAAATCGCTTTGTGCCACAGTTTTCCATTCCGTTCATTCAACTTTTGTGTCTTGTGGCAGCAACAACAGCAGGGCCAAAACACCAAGGCGGCTAAAACGGCGGCTCTAAACCAGCGGCTGACTGACAGAAGTGCTGCAGTTGTTGTTGTTGCTTCTGTGTGGGGGGGAAAAAAACATTGCCCAAGCTGGAAAAGTGTGTCGACGACACCACACTCTCACGCACAAACAAATGAAATAAAAGTAAACCCATTTACACCACACACACACACACACACACACATAGAGTCAGGAGAATGGGGTGGGGGTAGAGGGGCATTTGGCGCCAACTGCTTTGGCAAGCTGCAAATGTGGGACATTTGGCAGTCGCATTCGCATTGTTAACTTTCTTTGACAGCGGGCCAAAAAAAAAACAAACACAACAAAAATAAGGGACCTCCTAGGGTCCAATGTCCTCTCCTCCAGTGCAATCGTTGGGTCTTCGTTTTATTTTTCTGCTTATTATTCCCCTCTCTGCTTGTTATACCCACCCACCCGCTGGGTCTTATGATTTTGATTGGGGCTAAAAATACATCATAATGCGTATTTATTCTGCTTTGGAATCAAGGCTGTGTACAGTGTACCACCAAATACTCGAATGATCGGTACGAGAGTAAGTCAACCCACGCGGAACATTCTTAAATTACTCTCCAATTCTCTCGCACTCTTTACCGCTAACGAGAACGAGCAATACAAATACAAAAACGAAAGCTTAGTGCTCGAAATATCACCAAAATGCGGGGTTACTTATCAGCAAGTTGAGCGCAGGTAGAATTGCAATGTAAATACTAGCAACAACACTTTTTCAGAGTTTCTTTTCACCGTCACCTTCTTCGCCTTTCGATGCAGGCAAGGGCCTGCCATGCAGAGCAATAGCTCTGAATATTTGTTTGTATTGCGCGCTGCAACGTAAATTGCAAAAACACTTTCGTGCTTTTCGAGACATGAGCGAACGTGCAAGGGCGTGTGTACGGCAGTGATGAGAACTAGTCGCACAGTGGTACTCAGACAGTAGTATGATATTTGTTTCTATGAAAAGTAATCCCACAGTAGTCCCATAGAGTATAATATCCTAAGCCGATAATTGAATTCCGGTTCTGGCATTTTTGTTCCCCTAGGCTTTGGCTCGCCACCTGGCTAGAGGCTGCACATTTTTGTTGCCTAGATCGGAACTTTCGTACTTCATTAAATGATTTGAAACACCCCTATGAAAATATCTACACTAGTCTCGCAAAAGAATGAACTCAAATCTCCCTCCCCCTTGTCATATTTTTGCCATAATTTTCTTCACACTTTTCTTCAATGGCAAAACCAATTTGCATGCAATCTCTCTGATGACAAAGAGCATCACACTTGCTTTGCTTTTCATCCCACAGATGGGTTGTGTATGGTGTGGCCTTCCGTTTCTGGCCTTTTTTCTGTGGTGTATCTGTATCTGCAACTATGGCCACAGCTACAGCCGGTGGGTGTCCGTGTATTTATGGGTTGAAAATTGCAGGCACAGCAGCAGCAAATTAACACAGCACGAACGAATCGCAATCGAATGGCCAGCCCAGCCCTGCCCAGCACAGCAGTCTCCTGTGTTTGTAGCCTGTTGCCATTCCATATAGCATGCCCCATGCCACCCATATTCCTATTATGATGCCCATTGTGTATGTGTTGTATGCCCCTTTCAACAAATTGATTATTTGCATGGAAATCCTACAGCCTGCTGCCTGCTGCCTACTGCTGCTGGCCACAGGAGCCGCCTGCAACAACTATGTATAATGGCACTCGACTCGGTCATGGCCACGGCAGATGTTCGTTCGTTCTGCCTGCCTGTCTCTGTCTGTCTGTCTGTCTTTCTCTCTCTGAATGTGCGTCAGAAATGGGCGTGGCAGCCACACGCACTTATCGCCCATGCAACAGCAACAGCAGTGGCAGCAGTGGCAGCAGAGACAGCAGCAGCAGGCAGCCCATCGTCCACTGGAGTGAAGAGAAAAATTCTTATAAAAGGATTAATTCGATTCCAATATACGCACAGACGCACACCGCACATCCCCCTAGTATTCTGGATTTCCACATTTTCCATTCGGTTTTTCAGGCATTCCTCTCGTTTGGGGCAGCATCTCTGGCCGGCAGATATCAGCCGGGGATATTGCCAGTCATTGTGTGGGGCATTGTTTTAAATGCCCCGAAACCATAATGATTGTTGCACAAATGAAACGAAGAGAATGAGAGGCAAGCAGCGAATGTCTGCGAGTGTGTGTGAGAATATGCGTCGAAAGAGTATGCCAGAAGGGTATAAGGAATGGAGAAACTGTTCTGCAAATAGCAGATAAATATCCTGATCCTGTTAAAAATATGTACACAATTCCAGTATTGAAAATTCGATATTTTAAGTAAAAACGTTTCATTCCTTGGCCCAAAATGCTCTTAAATGAATCCCCAATCGTTAGAGCATTTCAACTTCATCTTTAGGTCAGCGAAACTTTAACTCCTTATTTTCGCATGGCCTTTTGTGTTCGTTGTGTGGCTGAGTGGCGGATTGCAATTTGCATTTTTCATGCAACTTAATGGAAGCGTCGCTACCTCCCGAAACCGATTAAAGCTTCATTTATTGGTGTGGCAAAACCTTTTAAATTTTCAATTTCGGGAATCAAGTGTGTGTGTGTGTGTGGCATAGCGCAGGATTAATTGAATTTATAGCCACACACACACACCACGACCTGAGAGATAGAGACAGAGAGACACACAGAGAGATGCAAAGAGACGGAGCCACAGATAGAGACAGAGATGCACATCTACAAATACAGGAGACAGAGACGGTGAAGGGGAGGATACACACGAACGTTGCATAGATTGAATTGCATTTCAGGTGATGACAGGGCACAGATTGGCCAAAATGGTATGTTAATTGGTCTAAATTTGATTTCCAATTTAATATCACACGCCGCACACGAATGCCACAACGCCAGGTGCCAGGTGCCAGGCGCCAGGATATCAGTGTGTGTTTTTGGGGGTGTCAAGGTGGTGGCCAGACCGAAGCTTAATCAAGGCGCCAATCCTTGTGTTTTGTGAGGTGCTAGAAATTATTCAATGAAGTACCCCAGTATCGATGTCATTATCAAATTAGTTAATATTTCTGACCGCACTCTCTCTTGCATTTCAGAGGCCACAACACATCAGCATCTGAGCAGAAGGAGGAGGAGAAGGACCCTGGGAGCCACACCAGTTATCCACATCCACATCCACGCACCGAAGGACACACACACAGCAGGAAGAGACACACCGAGGCCTAGCCATGGGCAGTGGACACTATTTCTGGGCGATTTTCTACTTTGCCAGCCTCTGCAGTGCTTCACTGTAAGTACAGTAGACCTACCCCGCCTCAATCCCACATTCCCACACACAGACACACACACTCTCATACAGTAGCTGCAAATAGTAAGCCACCAGCATAAGCTTCTTCTTGATTTTTCTACCATTTATTATCGCTTTAATAATAATTATTTTGTACTACTTCAGCTTTTCTCTGTACTCTCTGTATACAGTAACTGCTAAAAGTAAGCCACCCAACCAACCAACCAACCGCTTCTTCTTCATAATTTTTGGGTTCGCGTGGCTCTGTCGTACAACTGTTTCACATCAGCACTTGAGCGCCGGAAAAGTGGCTTTCCAAAATTGGCAATTTACATACAAATGTCATTAATTTGTTTGCGAACAGAAGCAGAGCCATGCCTCGCTTTCGAGGGGCAGTAAATACGATATATGTATATATGTATGTATATTGTATATGCTGTATCGGTTAATGCCCCTCCACTTTATGGCTGAAGTAGTCGTGTAGTTTATGCCTCTTTCATCCACTTTACAAAACACAGAATAATCGTACACTCCGCTGCCCCCTCTCTCTCACTATCTCATTAAAATGTAATCAAATTTTCGTGTAATATTTTTGTCGGAGCATAAATTTTGGAATTATTTACGCTCAAGTCGAGGCCAGAGTCAGCAGAAAATCCGCATCCTCTATGTGACTTTGGTTTCTTCTTCTGATAAGTGCGACAGTGTATAATAATCTCTCTCTCTCTAATGATTAAAACCAAAATGAAAAAAACACTCTGATTCCACCTCTAATTTGTACATAACAAAAAAAAAATAATAATAATAATAATAATGCTGTATGAAGCTTTTCTTTCCAAAAATATTCAACATAAATTCAAAGCTTTTGTCCAAAGAAAAATTTGCTTATAAAATTATACCGTTCGTACGTTATCCCCCATATCCTGATTTCAGAGCAAATAATGCCAAAATAAATTTCCGAGAAAAGGAGAAAAAAGTCTTAGATCAAATTTTAGGTGCAGGCAAATATGACGCACGTATACGACCATCCGGAATCAATGGCACAGGTGAGAATACCCCTAACATAACAGCAAACTATTACTACTACTACTACTATTACTCCATATGGAATACCCTTAACTTTTAGTTTTGTGTTTTTTTGTTTTAAAGCTTTTTTTCCGTTTGAAGTGCTCTCAAAAAACATACATATATGATATTTAGTGTTAGATATATGTATAACGAAAAATCGAATCGAAATTATAGTGATATAATCTAAGTAACTAACTTAGTTTAGTATGCCATTCAGTTCGCTCAGAGTTTAGTTAAGTTAATAACTTCACTTTTGCAAAATGTTGTCGATAAACTCACAATTTAAACCCAAACTTTATGCCAGATGGTCCCGCCATAGTCAGAATCAATCTATTCGTACGAAGTATTATGACGATTAGTGATATCAAAATGGTAAGTCCACTCACACATGGAGAACCAGCAAAGCAAAGCAAAGCAAGAAAGAATGAAAGAAGCCAGTAACAGTCATTCGATATCAGAATTTGATAAATTGGATAGAGATTCGATAATACCCACGCCCCCCAATCACACTCCCATCTCTGTCTATGTCTCTGTCTCTCTTTTACTCTGTCACATCTCATCTAGAAATGCTCTTGCCTCACACAAAACACACACACACACACACTCACACATTTGTTTTTTCGTTATCTCTATTTCTTATATGCGTATAAATATATCCGCCACCCAACCCCCACCTCCATCCACTCCACACATATTGAGTTTGATTTTTGCCACTTTTTTATGGCAGATTTTTGTACAAGTCTTCCTGTACTGTACTTCCTGTATGTACATTTATCTTTACGTTCCTGTTGTTCTGATGGGCTCTAGAGACCCAGCAGTCAATCGTTTGTTTGTTTGCTCAATTCGATTATTTTTTGTTGTTTAGTTCCTGGCTACATTCAAACTACATCCATACTTGAAAGAGTTGCCCACTTACCGGAGTGGGTGGTCCAGTACGTTTCAAATGCAATTTTGCCCAACCCTCCCCCGCCCCACCCTTTGCATATGAATGTATGTATTTTTTTATCCATTAATACAACCCATTTATTGAGCATTTAAAATCGATTATGCCCATCCTCTCCTCTGAATTACGAAACGATGCGCAAAGTTTTTGCAAGAGTTCGTATTTTGCATTGGACTTTTTTTTGTTTTGTTTGATAATTTAATTACGACTAAAGTTTTTTGATTTCAATTTTTTCAGTTCATTTATGTTGACTTTTGCCACAGCAGCAGCAGCAACAACAGCAACAGCAATGACATCCAATGACATCATTAATAATGTAAAAGCATCATAAATATTTGCAAAAATAGCACACACACACTCACACACGCAAATATAGTCGATACAAATATATGAAAAATATCCGAGTACACATAAATATCCACGCTTAAAGCTCTATTAATATTCAACTATTAAGGCATATCAATTAGCAGTTTTTTTTCCGATACAACTCACACGAATTTCCATTTGTATTTTTTTTCATTTTCCACACATACACACCACCACCCCCGTATGAGCCAAACCCACAAAAAAACACCCTCCCCCCTCGAAGGTCACAAACCACCGCCACCACTCCATAGACAAATAACAAAAGCAATTTTAGTATTAGCTTAACTTAGCTTATACAGCAGAGAAATACTCTTTACGCATAGCTTTAACTTCTTTGTATCTTTAGAATTTAAGTAAGAAAAAAACACCAAAAGAAAAGCCAACGGGAAAAGAAAAGCCATAAAATAAAACTATATTACAGTTGGAAGGCGGCCACTACCAAGGAAAAGTGTGTTGCCTGCTTTTGGGGTGCCACAAATAAAATCTTGTTTCTTTTTTGGTTAATTTTTTTAATTTTCTCGGGAGCAACCAACAACTGTTGTTTATAAAAACAAAACAAAAAAATTATAAAAAAAGTATTGTACCCAAAAAAGTATTGTCCATATGTATCGTCTACCCCTGCAGATGGTCCCGCCGTTGTGCGCGTCAACATATTCGTACGAAGTATATCGAAAATCGATGATGTGACTATGGTAAGTGCCCCACGCCGCGTGTAATCCTCCACAAAAGAAAAAGAAAAAAAAGAAAAAAACAAACTGCAAATCTTAGGACCCTTTGAGCTCCTGTTCAACTCCTTCTCCTCCTTCTCTTCGTGTGATACTTGATAGGGTTGTTGTCGTTGTTTGTATTCCGCTCTATTTCTCTCATAGGACAAAAAGACAAAAAAAACACCACAGAAAAATAATATTATAATAAATATTATATTATATTCTATATCTATATCTATTTATAATACATATCAAAGAACTATGTTTGACTATCGATGTGATTAAATGATTTTTCGTCCATTGATGATTTCCTTTTGTAAATTTTCGACTTCAGTTTTTTTTTCGAAAGTTTTTTAGCAAAATTCTCTCGAATTCGTTTTATTTCCATTTGCATTTGTCAAATTAGAAAGTTTTCTTACGTTTGCATTGGTAATTGAATTAGTTTTTCCTTCTTTTCTTCATTATAAAATAACAACAGCAAAAATGTATAAAAATAACAACAACAAAAATGTCTTTTTGGATCTCTTTCCTATACACATCTCTCGCTATCTCCTTCTGTCACTCACTAGCTGTCTATCTGTCTCTCTCAATCTATCTCTTTCTCTCTCTCTCTCTATTGCTATCTCTTTTAATTTTAAACAAAACTAATTTTTAGATTAAAAATTACTTTCTACAGCTCTCTCTCCCTCTGTACAAAAAAACTCTATAAAAATCGTAATGTTAAATGTTAATTATTAAATTAATACTGAATTAATCACGTATCCAAATTTAATTATTATTCACTCAAAATGCGACCTACAGATGTGCCTTCATGCGGAGGATTCAATTTATAAAATATTGAGATTTTTTTATCAATAAAATTTACTTAATTTGATTTATAATTTTTATGCTGCTATTCGTATGTACAAAATATTTAGTGGAACAATGGAAATGAAAATGTGAAAATGTGTGTTCTTGTTTTTGTCGATGTGTGTGCTTTTGTGTATGTGAGTGTCGTCCCCCCTAACAACCTCTAACCCCCACTCTTTTACCCCGTAAAACTCTACTCGAAAAAAAGTAATTCAATGGAAATAGTTTTCCTTGTTTTTTGTTTTGATTTTCCCCCTAAAATCAGTACTGTAATTGAATATGTGTGTATGGCATGCATTCTTCAAAGAGCAATGAAAAACCATGCAAAACTCCTACCATAAATAAAAAATAAAAAATATAGAATGAACAAAAATTGAAACTACAACTAAAAATACAATTAGCAAGCGAACTAAATCCAGAAAAAAAAAACATAACATACAGAATATTTCATTTTTTCAAAATGAGATCCATGCAGACATTTTTCCCCATTCGAATATTTTTGGTTTACAATTCAATTAAATATTTGATAAATTTTCTGATTTTATTGATGAGTTTTTATGAGTTTTTTCCTTTGATTTTCCATAACATTTCGTGCACACACATGAAAATTCATCAAGTAAATAGTTTGTAAGCCTTAAGAGTTAGTTAGTAAGTATGATTAAGTATGATCCAACTAAGTTCAGGTCGGATGGGATTGATTGATGATCGATGATTGATGATGCATTTTTGTAGCTAATTTGGCCACAATGGTGAAGGTGAACATGTTCCTGCGATCCATATCGAAGATTGATGATTACAAAATGGTGAGTCCGACCAAAGGATCGTGCACAACTTCAACTACAACTACACAACCACAAAACTACAGCTACAAATACACCACCCCCAAAAGCCGCTTACTTTCTCTCACTTTCGCTGTCTGTCAATGTGTGTGTGCGTGCCGTGTGTGCGTGTGTGTGTGTGTGCTCGTAATACATACAGAAATATCCAATTATTGTGGATGCCTGGGAGAGGCGGCGCTGCGCCTCTCTTCCAATGGAATATATGTACATTTTTCTTAAACAGAAACTAAATTAAATTGTAAACTTTATAATTATATTGTATAAAATATACGTGTATATCTTTTATTGTACAAAATACGAGTATTTATGGTTTTCTTTTTACGTTTCTCTCGAATCAGAGGCTCTCCTGCTTAAACGCTTTTGTGTCTCTCTCTTCCAATCACCGCCAAACGCCACAAACGATGTCACATGTCAGAGATCGATCGAACTCTGGTCTCTTAAATGCAAGCAATATACCAGCGAAAGTACTACTAAAACCTACGTTTAAGTCTTAGCTATAATTTAAGCTTAAATTTAAGTGAGAAATGAACCCACTAACCACAGATACAGCCACCGCCATTCACCTTAAACCACCTTTGAAACCCACAAGAAAACCCACGCTTCCCATTCAATTTCATTTTCCTTCGGTTTCCGTTTTCATTTAAATTCAAATTTGGACAAGAAAATAGGTTTTGAAAATGCTTAAACATACATGAAAAACCGGTATTTACTTGCAGCATATAAACGGAAAATTTAGCCACAAAGCCATTTACACAACTCAACATTTGCAGTTTGTCTGCAGTTTTGCTTGCCACAAAAAAGTGAACAGTTTGGACAGCTGCCATTGCCCCACATAACCAAATTATTTCTAATAATTATTCATTTTTATTCACTTTTCCTAATTGGAAAGGATTTTCATGTTTATCGGTTAACATTTTTGATAGTTTTACGAGTGACAAGCAACAACAGAAGTGGTAGTAGCTCTCATTAGGGCAAACAAACAGGGTTTTCCATACTCTTTTTGTGTGTTCAGAGTCCCAATTTTTGAGTTACAAACGTTCCTTCCTTCGATGTGTGGCATTTTCGACCACTTTTGGCATGAATTTTAATTAGTGTTTTTGAATAAAATTCCTTAGGAATACTACATTAAATTATCAAAGATTTACCGCATGAAAATTTAAATTTTAAGTTAGATTTTAAGCCATAAAAAAATTATTAATGTTTCAATATTTTATAGACTTTTTTTAAGGAATGTTTTAGATATATACAAATACGATATATAAATGTTTATGATTCTATGTTTAAGACGCCTTTGCTTTTGTCCTTTCACTCCAGCTTGCCAACTCCTTAATGCTTGTTGTTTGCTCTTTTTGCCTGCCTTTTGCCTGTGCAACACGTTGCATGCCCTGCATTTTGTTGCATTATGAACTATTTATTAGACATCAGACATGAAACAAAAAAGCTGAGGACCTTTAAAATCATATATATATATATACTATATATAAAACAGATATATATTCAATATACATGACAACAAAATACCCCCCAAAAATTTCGCCACGCATTGCTCTCGCCTTTTTCATATTCCAACCAAAAAAATAACGTAATCAATTTCATTCTTTGCTTAAAGAAAAAAACCCCCAATCAAGTAAAATTAAATGAAAATGAAAATTCAATTGAAAACCTCCTCCTCTCGAAACACAAAGAAAATTCCCATTGAAATTTGCATTGTAGTTGAAAATTGAATTGAACCGAAAAATGTATCCATGAAAGCTCCCCTATTTGATTTCCTTTACTAATGAGAGTTTTTCTTTACACCAACCTTCGACGGGTCCCTCCCCCCTCGAATATACTACGCCCTGCAGGAGTACAGTGTGCAGTTAACATTCCGAGAGCAATGGACGGATGAGCGTCTGAAGTTCGACGATATCCAGGGTAAGTGAATCAAAAATATTTATGTGCAAGTCGAAAAATATTAGTATGAAATATTCTAGAACAATACAATAGAAAATACTATAAAAATAAAAAAAAATACCAGAGAATATAAAAAAAAAATAAAAAATTTATTCTAGAAAATATCAGAAACTATAAACTTGAAATATTGCATACATAAAAATGCTAGAATATAAAACTTAAAAAAAAAAGAAACTGAAAATATATAAAATCAGAAGCTTTTCTTTGCGTATAATCATTTTCTTTAATATTTTATGTATTTTTGTATCCGATCTTTCAAAGGTCGGCTCAAATACCTCACACTGACGGAGGCGAACCGAGTCTGGATGCCGGATCTTTTCTTCTCAAACGAGAAGGAGGGACATTTTCACAACATAATCATGCCCAATGTGTATATACGCATCTTTCCCAACGGTTCAGTTCTGTACAGTATACGTATCTCGCTGACATTGGCTTGTCCAATGAATCTCAAACTATATCCATTGGATAGACAAATATGTTCATTGAGAATGGCCAGTTGTAAGTGTTGAAACGATACAGTATTTAACGGGCCAACTAACACCTAACATTCATAACCCAAACCACAGATGGCTGGACCACAAATGATTTGGTGTTCCTTTGGAAGGAAGGTGATCCGGTGCAGGTCGTTAAGAATTTACACCTACCTCGCTTCACTTTGGAGAAGTTTTTGACTGATTACTGTAACAGTAAAACCAACACGGGTACGTTTCTGTTCGTTCCTCTTCCGCCTTCGAAACGTTTTCTTCGTCTCTACTCGCTACTCTACTCTACTCTGTTCTACTCGCCTATGTATCCATGTATCCGTATCTATCTTTTCCATAGCTTGTTTTTGTTGCATGCCACTTAACCTTTTCAGTAAATGTATTATAAACAGCCTCATAACCACTTCATAGCACACATTTCCATATCGTTTTGCGTCCTGCTTTCTGCTGCCGAGAATCCCCCCCGAATCGAATCCCGTAAGCAGCAAGTTTTTACGACTCACAAACACTTCCATTCCATAGTCGTAGTAGTCGTTCTACACTCGCATTTAGATACACTTTCAGGAACACAGATACCAGTTTTTACCTTGCTGTTTTTTATGAGCCACATGCGCGCGCTCTTTTACCCCGCAAAATGTTTTTGTAACTATTCAGGAAGCAGGAGGGCAGGAGAGCAAAAAAAGGGCAGGGAAGAAACGGAAGAAATGTAAGAAGCAAAAATGTACGACAAAAGCCGTAAGGAAAGTAAATTAATCGAGGAAATTGTCTGCAACGTTGTTTAAACTTTGCACAAAGAGACATCGAAGATGATTCCCAATGATGATGAAGATGATGACGTTGCTGATGCTGATGACGAGTGAATGCAAATAACGAATGCAAAAAGATTCTTTTTTTTTATACAAGTTCTGGGGAAAACTACTCTGTGTGTGTGCGCATATTGGGATAGAGCGCAAATACGAGTAGAGGATGGATTCATTTGAGTTTGTTTACCCAAGTATTTTCAGTATTTATTTAAGGAAAAACTGCACCTTAAACGCCTCAAACGTTAGAGTAGCATTTAGAGGAAGTTATTTTAGCAGTTCGTACGCAATCAGTGCCCTTCCCCCCATCATTCACCAGCCTTAAAGAGTTATTTTAGGGCGCCCTGCATGAAGCACAGTATTAAAAACAAAAAGGAAGAGAAATAAAACTCAAGCAACATTCGTTTCAATTCTCTAAAATCAGTGAATATCGTAATTTACGAGGGACTAGTTCTCATTTAAAGGTCTACACCTCTGCCTTGCAAGACCTGGCATGTTCGTTCATGTCTCGAACGGCCATTTTGCAGATCTGTCGCTGCGCGTAATACAAACAAATATGTATCATATTTTATGCGGCTGTTCCTCTGCATTGCAAAACCTTGCATGCATCGAATGGCGAAGGTGACGCCTAAAAGAAACTATGAAAAATTGTTGCTGCTATTTACATTGCAATTCTTCCTGCGCAGATCTTGCTGATATTATTTTTGTTTTCGTATTATTCGCTCGTTCTCTGTAAAGACCGTAATAGTCGGCCGGGTATATATGACTACGTGATCATGCAGGGGCTCTAGTACTTCTAGCATTCTCCATCCTCCCAAAAAAAAAGTCATTTATCATTTACTATCCTCAAAGTTCGTGTTAGCATGAGTCTGAATTTACCTCATTTTCTCCCTCATTTTAAGCTAAACCACAAAATATAAAAATACAACCATATATTGTTGTAGTGTTCTCTAAGATATAAAATACATATACGCGTATATATATTAATATAGATGTTGCAGTAGTGTTGTTTGAAATTTTAGAACTCTCTCTATCTCTCTTTTTCTCTGTTCGCATTGAAAACTAGTTGCTCACATAAAGTTTATTAATTCTATATCTTCTATGAGCGTTTTTTGCGGAGTAAGAAATGTGTGAGAGCTCGTGTTAAGGTGTGCGTGCGATTCGATTCTGCTGCAATCAGAAAGGCGAGGCTGCTTCGTTTGATTGATGAAAGCCCAGCCAGCCGAAAGAACCAAAACAACCAAAAACCAAAGGCAGAACAGAACAGAGCAGAACCAAAGCCAAGAGCCAAAAGCCACAGTGCGAAATGTGCCAGATGTGCCAGGATGTGCAACGATATATTTGTTCCAGAAACCCAGAAAACCTCGAATACCCAGAACCAGAACCACACACGCAGCCCAGCAAACGCTTACCAAACAAATCAAGCACACATATGTACCTACCATACACAGAGAGAAAATTCAATGAACTAAAACGACGAAACAAAATGAAAATTTCCCTAAAAACAAAAATATCATGGGAAAAATATGAGAATGTTTTCAAATAAAATAAAACACCTTTGTCTTGAAGAGTATGGAACGCATTTGCCAACAAATTAACGGAAATGAAGCATACAACAAAGGGGCGGTGCCCAATGGGGAGTGGGGCGTGCTGGGAGGGCGTGCCAGGGGAAGTGTAGGGAGAATGGAAATTCGAACATCGAACGTCGAAAACTTCATTTCCGTTAAGATTTTTGTTGTGCAAAAAAATAAAGGAAAAGAAAAAAAAGACAGAAAATTGAAATTGCTGTTGATATACTTTTTGCCTATGATGCAATTTTTCATTTGATTTTTTAATTTTCCACTCTCTGTGTGTCTCCCTACCAGCTTTTCTGTTTTTCCTGTAAATACATTACCACACACCCCCACTCCCGTTTTCCCCACTGCCTATGCATTTTCTGTTTTCTGAAAAACCCCCTCCCCAGCCCAGTTTCTGTACAGACAAAAAACAGAGCAAAATTCTTCTCTAATAAATGTGTGATTTTCTTTTTTTGTTTTCTTTCTCTTGGCAAAATTTTGTGGAAAGCAATACACAATTTTATGTTTCCCATCTCTATCTCTCTGTCTCTCTCTAAAATCTCTAATCATTGTAAATTATATTGGATATCACTAATTAAACTATCTATCTGACTGTGTGTGTACTATATGTGAAACAAAAACAACGAATACGAAAACGAAAACGAAGCAAAAGAAAACCACTTTTAAAGACATCCTTCCCCAATTAGATTTTGAGTTTGACACAGTTTTATATACCTTGTATACTCATAGGTGAATACAGTTGCCTCAAAGTCGATCTACTATTCAAGCGAGAATTCTCATATTACTTAATACAAATTTATATACCATGCTGTATGTTGGTCATTGTATCATGGGTATCATTTTGGCTGGATCAAGGCGCAGTGCCAGCGCGTGTGTCATTGGGTAAGTAAATGCAGGATATTCCACAGTCGAAACAAAACAAATCGAATTATGTTATGTCCTGAGAATGTCTACACAAAAGAGATAACTGCATTGAGCTCGATCACTCCTTGCCGCTCTCTCTCTCTAGTCTCGTATTTATTTTAATCTATGTATAATATATTCTGTACTTTGGATCATCCATGCGATTAATCGAATTTCTGTTGACAGGTGTCACCACTCTATTGACCATGGCAACACAAACATCGGGCATTAATGCATCACTGCCACCAGTATCCTATACGAAGGCGATTGACGTGTGGACCGGCGTCTGTTTAACCTTCGTGTTCGGGGCATTGCTTGAGTTTGCCTTAGTGAACTATGCATCCCGTTCAGGTTCGAATAAATCTAGTAATTGAGATTTGATATGCTTCTTAACAACCTTATAAATGTTAATTAATCGATGGTGTTTTTTCCTTTTTTTTACTACTATTTTTGACTGTTGCTTTTTATTGTAACTCGAGTGAAATAATACCAATACTACCTATATAACATATACATAGTATAATATGTATATGTATATGTCTGCCGTTAAGTGTACATACAAGAACCAGTAACCAGTAACACAACCAACCAACCAACCTGTCTGTTTATCGATTGACTTGAAGAAAACACAGAACCCTGTGTGTTATCGATTGTCTTGAAGAAAACACAACTCTGGGCGCCTGAACTGACTCTTAACGCCACTCACACACAACTGTACCACCCAAAACAGCGGACCGCTTAACACACTCACACACTCTTCCTCCTACACAATCTCTGGGCAGGAGCCGAAGCCCCCCCACATATATGTCTATATATATATATATTGCCTTATATCTGAACAACAATGTTTAGTCGTAGAACTTTCGATATGTGTACTATTTTTCGTTTCACTTAATTTTCATCTTTTTGATATCTAACCACAACAAAATGATGTTCTACGTGTGAATCTATACTAATCCAATTTTTCTGTTTTACTCTCTTACTTTCATTCCGCGCCCAAAACCATCCATCCACCCATCCATCAACCCACCAACACATCAATTCCTACAAAATACACCCTATGATCCCCTTTATCCATCCACACAAAACTTCTGCAAAAACCTCACGAAAAAAACGCGTTTGAAAAAAACAACAACCCGATGAATTTTTCCTTTCTGTTCGGTTCTTCGATGTTGTATCAAAAACAAAAAATGCTTGTAAATATAAAAAAAAAAAAACAAATACTTTTTGTATAAACTATAAAAATGATGTGTGTGGTAAACAAAAAAACAAAATACCTATAATTATTTTCATTATTTACAAATTTCTTTGATGGAAACTTGTTTCGAATCGTTTAAACGTGTATTTTTCTGTATTGTGTGACTATCTCTCTCTGTCTTTCTCTTTCTGTCTGTCTCGCCTTAAAACACTCTCTCACTATTGCTGTCTAACTGTTTAACTTTACTGTGTGTGTGTGTGTATTAAAATGCATCTAAAACTGTATAAAAAAAACACCATCGAAAACATCCGACAACCTTTTGTGGAACATATAAATTCTTGTAAACATCTATCCATCACAACATGCAACATTATATATCCTACGATATGGTATATACGGATCGGGCCGCAGACATGCATAAGGAGAATATGAAAAAGAAGCGCCGAGATCTGGAGCAGGCCTCCTTGGACGCCGCTTCAGATCTGCTCGATACAGATAGCAATGCAACGTTCGCAATGGTACTTACCTCTTGATATACTATCTCTCTAATCAATCATATTTCTATAGGGGGGGGGGGGGATGTACTTAGAAAAATACCAGAAACTAGTAGAAAATAGCAGGAAAAATACAGAAAAGTTCCGGAAGAGAAAAAGAGAAAATAAAAATTAAAAACAAACAAATAATAGAAAATGCTATACAAGAGTCAGAAAATATTTTATAACTACCAGAAATTACTAGAAAATGTAAACTAGAAGCAAAAATATCAATTTGAAATATAGACAAATACTAGACAAGTACCAGAACATCTTGGAAGAAATCAGAAAAGCATTGGAATAAACCATACCAGTAAATACTAGCTAAAGTCCTGACAATGTAGAACAGAAGCACAGAAAAATAACAATATTTTACTAGACATCCATCCGAGTGCGTTTTTTAAGATATAGGATATCGAAAAACCAACCTAAAAGGTAGATCTTGTCTCTTAAATACTGGCTATACGCAATCGCCGCTAAACAAACCCCCAACGGCGGGTACTTGTTACTCTGCTCCCATTTGTTTTTCCTTTCGAAACAACAAACATCAAAACGTCGAATTGGCTAAAACGCAACAAATTGCTATGATAAAACTATTAAAACAACTATTTCCTTTTATATTTGCCTCTTTCTTTATTACCACAACAAAAACAACAACCAAAACTTTTTTCAAACGTGTACGTACCACACCACAAATAAACAACAACCAAAACAACCGAAACAAAATATATGCAAAAACCTTCAACCGAATCATCGCAAAACCACCACTCGACCGGGAATTGAATTGGAAAAATTGCAATGAAAATGAAAATTAAATGAAATTTACGCACATGCCCCCTGAAACACCATCACCACCACCCACTGACACACCTGCCAACCTGCTCGAACCAACCAAACAACCAACCAAACAACCAACCAACCAACCCATCGAACCACCATCGAACCCTCATTTGTTTCATGTCAAACGGCATCGCAATATCCACGCGGTGGCGGCCAACAGAAACCGCTAGTGCGCCATCCCGGCGATCCTATGGCCCTCGAGAAGCGTCTCCAGTGCGAGGTGCATATGCAGGCACCCAAGCGACCCAATTGCTGCAAGACCTGGCTATCGAAATTCCCCACAAGGTAACTGAGATACATGGCACCGCCCCCTACCCCTCAAAAACAATGGGGTAGTGGCGGGGTGCCTAGTAGATCTCTTGAAATATACTTTAGTTCTATCTGTGTGTTGTGCATATAGTAGTTGATGGATTTACTTTTTGATGTTGTGAACATGTGTACTACTACTATTCTCTATTATATTCTCTTTTCACTAACTCTTGTTGACTTTTTTGCTATCACATCAAACAAAAACAATCTCTCAAACAGTCTCTCATTGATTCCGACTCTCCTGTGAAAAACAACACCCGAAAAATCTGCCGCTTGCTTGCCGTTTGTTAAAAAAAAACTTCAGTTTTTTGCTCGCTGATCATTTATGTTGCCAAAATTAAAAAGAAAAAAAAGTGAAGTTGAAAAAAAAAAAAGTAAAAAAAAAATATTTTACTAAAAAATAAAACAAGAAATAACAACAGTGTGAAATTTGACAACAAAAAAATTATTTTTGAAAATTTTAACTAAAAAAATTGTATCTTTTTATTTCTAAAAAGTGAAATTTTTTATTGCTTTTGTGCCTTTTGAAATAATTTCTTGTGTGTGATTTGTTTGTTTTGAAAATCAATCAATCGAATGTTGTGTTGTAGATACAACCCCCCTTCCATCCCGACCCCAAACCCCATCCTACCCTCTGTAGATACCACCCCTCACCACACCCCTTGCACTTATAATTTTCCAGCACGTCACACGCGCCCCACCTCGCCGCCTCACACACATTTTTAAAACAAACAAATTATTTTGCCAAAAGACACAAATTTTGAAATGAGAAATGAAAATTTGAAACTGAAAAATTTGGAAACCAAAAACCAAGAAAAAAAAACCGAAAAACCGAAAAAAAAGTAATCACAAATCAAATCAAAAAGCCAATCTTTAGATGATCAATTAATATATATTTTCTTCGTACTTGTTGAATATTTATCCAAAGACAATGTTCTAGATCGAAGAGAATCGATGTTATATCACGGATCACCTTCCCGCTGGTCTTTGCCCTCTTCAACTTGGTCTACTGGAGCACATATCTCTTCAGGGAGGAGGAGGATGAGTAAATGCCGTTGCCAATACTTAAATTTAAAACATAAAAAACTTAAAACTTAGAAATGAACAGCAAATGTAACCGAAACACATGGGAAATGATTGTACTAACCTATTCTTTCAATTCTTTTTCCATTCTTTCCACAAATTTTGGTTCTCATTTGGATTCATTTTCATGCTCTTTTTGTGTTGCGTTTTGTGTTTTCCAAATGATTTGTTGAACCTCAAATAAAAAGGACCTTCTAAGGACCGCCAACGGCTATGTAGAATCCAAACGAGAGAGAGAGAACGAGGGGCATGCCCCCAAAGTACAGAAACAGAACAGAGTTATAGGCAAGGCTTCAAGGCACTTCCATTAAAGATTAAAATGATAATTCGAATGATGATGATTAACAATTAGTTCTTAAGCTCAATTGATGATTCAAAAGTGTGACTGCATAGTAGTTAATGTTATTAATAATTATAAAAAAAAACACACACACAACACACACACACGACACACACCTAAACAACAATTGTTTGAGTTAGACTAGTTCAAAATAAATTTAAAAAACAAATTCAAAAATTACACAAATTATTTGTACTTAAAACGAAATTTGATAAGTTTAGCCCTAAATCGTAAATCCAAGGATCAGCGGTCGAACCATCGACCATTTTTTGTACATATGAATGAATACGAATATAAGTTTTAAGCGAAACAACAACCAACAAAAAATCTCTAGTTTAAAAACAAATTCGAATTGTATAAAGAGCATTGTGTAGATATTTACTAAGTTTAGTCGATAAACCCGAAGCGGAAGCTAAGCGAAAAACTCTAGGTAAAAATTCTAATAAAATTATATGTTCATTCATCGAAAAGAAGATATCGAATAAAACAATCGTAAGAAGAAAGTCCTCTGCAAAGCACTCACTAAAAAGAAAAAAAAACTAAATCCCAAGAAGTATGTTTATTTTAAGGCCAAACAAAAAGAAAATGGTTAAAATGGTGGGTATTTTTGCATCCGTTTTCCTAGAACTCCTAGAATTATTCTTTAAAGCCTGCTTTCAAGTTTGAGCATTTGTTAAAGTAGTTTTACAATATTTAATACTATGAAAACTATTATGGGAATATTCGTAATCCTGAATTCTTATTTGATTTAAACACTAGACTTTTATTCAATTTTCCCTTATGTATTCTGGGTCCAAACGGCTCCGTTTAGCTATAGTTTATTTCCCCGTTTTCCTTAAGTAGAGTTACTAATAAAAATATATAACAACTAAAACCAATTAAACAGACAATACAAATACGTAATCGAATATCGAATCGGTTCGATAACCGATATATAGAGCCACCACCATATAGAAAGTTCTTTGCCAATAATCCAAAAAATTTAGACCAAATTTTTTTGGTTATTTAAGTGCCTTTTTTCATACGAATAAACACTTCCAAGACATCCTCTCCCTTCGACCTTCGATGCACTTACAGCTTTAACTTTTAGCCAACAAATATACTAACAAAAGTACTAACTGAATTCTACATAGCAACAATAAAAACAACAAAAAAAAAAGAATCAGTAAAACACTTAAAAACTTTCAAATAAAACAAACATTTTTTGTAGTTCTTATAAATATTTGTTATTTTTAAAGCTTGTTTCGTCTTTTACTTTATTTTTAAGTTCTTTGGAAATGCTTTTCGATAAATTTTGCTTTGAATTTCATTTCGATAACTAAAAGGTAAGAAGAGAAATTAGAAAATACTAAAGAAGCCCAAAAAATGAAAATCAAAAATCAATGAAAAATGAAAAACTTATGCTAATATTTAAAAGACACTACACAGAAAAAGGCACCCATGCATAATAATTGTTGTCATTATAGAACATAAGCAAAAACAAACTTATATGTAAAAGAAAAATTCTAAAAAATCGATAAATCGATATATGTTGATCACCGATAACTTTCGATAAATCGATAACATATTGATAGATGTGCATTCATGTTGTAAAACTTGTGCCAAAAACCTTAGTCGAAAGAATATCGAAGATAAATTGGTGGTGACGATGAACGATGACTATAGCGATAACGATAAGACGCAATAGTTGTAATGTAAATGAAAAGCTATTACAAGCTAGCAAAGAAGATCGATAAAAACGATAATCGATGTACGATTTAATGATAACTATAGCGATAGTTGATAATGTAAATGAGAAAGCTATTGAACATACAGGGTTTTTAAATGTGAGCATATAAATGTTGAAGAAAGAAATAGAAGACGGTGGAGAATAGAAGAAATACTAGAAGAAGAACACGAAAAACACACACCAAGTTATCGATAGTATATCGATTGAAATAATAAGAACAATTAGGCATTTATTTATGGTGGGGGTTCCATGGATTGGGGGACAAACATATGTATATGTATGTATGCATGCATATGTAGGTACTTTGGTTGTGTGCTGCTTTCAGTTTAGTCGATTCTTCGGATTTTGTCAATTATCATTTATTTCTATAGGCAAATTGTTCAGCAGCGCGGCAGTCCAATCGATAGCACAGATTGTAAATACTATAGTCACAAGAGACAACTTTAGACTTGAAAGTTTTGAGTATTAGGCGGAGTAACAGAAATGGGAATTAACAGACAGAAAGAATACGTAGATGATAAGATTAATGTATGGTTTTAGATATTAAGGAAAAGTCATTACCAATACTAAAAGAAAGAAGAAAAACTACCACTGAAGGCCACTCATTCACACACCAATCGACACTACACTACCACTAATCTCAGCACAAGAATCCAAGTGAAAACTTTAGATAAAGATCATGACACATATCTAACAATCAAAAGACACAAAAAAAGATATTGTATCTGAAGATGGAATGTAAATACCAACAAAAAAAGACACCAATCAGAAGCAGAAGAAAAAAATCACCTTACTTTATAGAGCTATAAGTGGACGAACGCGCACAGTACACACTCACAGCCAAAATTATAGCAACAAATTGTATAAGAAAATCCACACCAAAAAAAAAAACACACACACACACCCACACAAAAATGTAGTCTTAAGATCGGAAAACATGAATTTTGCTCTAATGCGTACCCAAGGAAAATCCAGGTAATTAGTTACAACCGAATCGAAGGTAAAGTCAGTGAGAGAAAAAGTTAAACAGAATACCAAAAAGGAAAGCAAATCAAAGCAAAAGAAAGGCCTAAGCGAATGAAATCAGTAGAATAATTATACAAAAACAAACAAAAATAGTTGAAAATAATTGTTGTCGACCCGAAAAGAAAAGCAAAAGAAATATGCAAAAGAAAACCGAAAAGAAAAAGCCAAAAAATTGTGTAAAACCCCCCAAAAGAATAAAAGATGTTTGTGAAATGTTTATAAATAAAATGGAAAAAAAAGAAATATGAAAAAAAATTACAACAAAGTTTTTATAATGAGAAAAAGTTGTGGAAATAACCGAGGGGCACTGCTGCAGGAGGCGTGGTACTAATAAATGAAGCGGTAGGCGTATTTTCAGGAAAGGAAAGACACTTTGCCTTTGCCAAGAATTCTTTTTACTAAAATTAATCCTGAAATTTAGCTAATTCTGACGGTAGAGGGAAACTGCATGTCCCGTGCCATGTACCTATAAAAAAACAATTTGGGATTTGTTTTGGTCAATTTTAATAACAAATCAGAAAAAATTTCCTCATCTATCGCCTTCCTTTGACATCCAAAAAGTAGTCTTTTGTGGCCATTCGATTAGTTTTGCCATTGGGACTCCGTATCAAGTCCTCCATAATAATGGCCCCGCCATTCAACTGCTTGTACTTAGCATCCGTGTGATCTCTCACATAATCCACAATGTCCTGGGCTTTTAGATCACTTCCCTGCTTCTTGACGACAGCGGCCGCAGCCTCATCCCCATTGATTTGATCCCAGACGCCAAAGGCGCAGACCTCGGCGACGTCTGGCATCTCGGAGATGATCGTTTCGATATCATTCGGATAGTACATGATGTTCTGGTACTTCAGCATGTCCTTTTTCCGTTCCACAATGTACAGAAAGCCATCGTCATCCATGTAGCCGAGGTCCCCCGTGTGGAACCACATCTGAGAGTCGCGCACCTTATGAGTTTCCTCGGGATTGCCGTAGTATCCTGCCCAGTGCTGGCCATTCCGGATGCACACCTCTCCAACCTCATCGGGACCCAGGGATTCCCCCTCTTCAGATATTATTTTTGCCTTCAAGCCACTCTCCAGGCGACCCACAGAGTTGGGTTTCTCATCAAAATGATAGTTCATGGTGGCCATTGCCCCCAATTCCGTGAATCCATACACGAAATGCAGACAATCGCTGCTCAGGCGACTTCTGATGAGATTCTGTGTCTCGACGGAAGCGCGACCCCCTCCAAATAGGTAAAACCTGAGGCTCGAGAAGTCTGCGGACTCGAATTCCGGAGAATTAGTCATCATTGCCATGTGGGAGGGCGCCTGTATAATCCATGTGATCTTGTGCTCCTCTATGAGCCGCATCATGTACACAGGATCGAAGACATTATCTGCGATAATCCTTGTAGTGCTGTAGACTGCCGATGTGATGGTTGTCAAGACCCCAGTGATCCAGTCGAGGGTGCTGTGTGAATACTGAATATCCGATGTGGTTAGGGAGCTAAAAATGAAATAAAAGATAAATATACATCTAAGAGATTGTATCTTTAGTACTTACTGGCAGCCGGCTAGTATCTGTCGACTGTTGGTGATGGTCACCGCCTTGGGAATGCCCGTGGTGCCCGAGGAGCAGAGTATCGCCAGCGTCTGATCGATGCCGTGCTCCAGTTGGACGGGCAGAAAGTTCTCCCCGATGGGGGATGAAAGTATCTGCTGGATGGGCGTCGATCCATTCTCTGGATGGTTCCGCATCGTAACGATCTCCACACCCTCCATGTCCCGAGTGGCTTCTCTCACTTTCTCGTACTCATCTCCGTCGCAGAAGACGATCCGTGGCCGCGTGATGGAGAAGAGCTTTTCGATGGTACCCCGATCGTAGGCGATGTTCAGCGAGTGGAAGGCGATGCCATTGAAGAAGCAGCCATACGCGACGGCAGGGATATGGGTGGTATTCCTGGCGATAATCCCCACGATATCCGACTGGAGGAGACCCTTCGTACGCATATACGAGGCCACACGCATCGCATTCAAATGGAGTTCTTCGCGGGTGAGGATTGTCTCCTCTGTTGTGGATATCTGGAAGATACAGATGTATCTCTCCCTTGATGATAGATGGAATCAGATACTCACTTGGGCAATCAGCTTCGGGTGCCTCCGCATCTCATGGAAGATAATCTCCCCAATGGATAGATTCGGGTCAAAGTACTCTTTGATCTCTGATCCACTCCAGATCTTAAGGTCTCCATCGTAGGAACTTGCGGGTACGTAAGGCATGCCGTGCTCTTTTCTTGGCTTTCAATCTTTTCAAACTGTTGATAATTTGCGAGTTCCTACGTTCTTTTATACCAAAATAATAACAAAAACAAAAGATAATCCCAAAGATTGCAACGAACGTAGTGGAAGATATGAGGATGGTCCAATCTCAAGGCTTCTTTTCTTTCACCATTTCTGTTTACATAGTTAACATCACACACAAATTATTCTGGGGATGGAAAATTTGATGATAAATCCGCGTTAATACTCGTAATAACAAGTCATGGGATCTTTTGAATTAGCTTATCACATGAATAACATTTCATTACATTGTAGAAGTCCAAGTCCAACTTTCCGCCATATCATTTTATATGTTTCTGCACCGTGGGATCTAGATATCTATATCTAGTGTCTTGTATCTGCGGGGGAGCGTTTACAGAATGACAATCCAATAACTACCGTTGACGTATCTTTGCCTTGCCAGAGATTGTGGTGTTATCTATGAATTACGATGCTTACAGCAGAGCAATTGGAGAGGTCAGAAAACATTTAAGCAGCTAAAGAAATAGGTATTTTATGGTATCTATTGATGGGGAAATTACATGCGCAGGCAAAAGTAGATCCCTTTTGATGTCCTTTTCTAAGGTATATGATTAGTAATTATCAAAAGATTTGAGACATGGACGCGGTTTCTATTTCAATTTCTAAAACGAATTCCTATACAAATCAGAGAGAAATTAACTGTATTTATTTATTTTCCCACGAGGAGAGAAATTATTATTTCTCTTACTATTATTATTATTATTTCATATCTTTCTTCGCTTTTTTTTAAAAGCGAACCAAACATACAGTGTGCAGTGTGACCGAGAATGCTGAGAACTTAACCCACTAGGGCCCCCTTATTTAAACACAACTAAGGTTAAACTGGAGTGTGGAAAATAATGCTGACATATAGATATATTTTACCTGAACCGTAGTTTTATGTATAAAAAAATAATAATTTATAATCATTTTTGCGTAACATTGAAATACCTATTGGCTGGTTGACAATGGGCTAAACATTCATATTGGCGCCATGTGTTAAGTTAAGTTCTATTTATTGCCGGTTTCTAGTGGCGAAAAGTGTTGCTGCAAACAGGCGCCAGATGGCTATTCAGTGAAAAAATAGTTCCAACATGAAGCACTAGATGGTGCGTGCAAAAACGGAAATTCAAGATAAAAATTAAAAAAAAAAAAAAATTAAATTGATTTCAATACAGTTAATGATGAAAATAAACCTAGAAAAATGGGTAAACAAAAATTCACAAAGCATAGATCCCAAACATTCTCCAAAATATGAACGGAAGTACCTAATTTTCCTTAAATTTATTTAAGCATAATATGACCCATACACACACCTAATTACTAACTAAATCACCTTTTAAGCCCCCCAAAAGCTCCACTATTAATTCAATAAACGTCTCAGCTGAACCATTACACAACTTTGAATGAATAATCATCTGATCTGATCATTGGAGGCTGCTGACAGCAAAATGGTACATCTCGTGTCAAGCGAAAGCGTTTTGTCGTCGAAATATATCCGGACACTTTAACTGCTGCTAAATTGCCGACTAATTTCGATTCCATTCCATTTCCAATTTTGCAATCTTTTGCGTGACCTTTAAATAGGAGCCGCCATCAGAGACCTGCCGGCAGTTGCATCAAAATGTTGAATCAAAACGGCAGCAGTAATCCCTCTACGAAGTACGATTCAAAGGAGCACATATGGTGCGGGGCCCGGCAGCAGGGATTCCACAATGAAGATTTGACCATTGGACAGATCATCTTTCGACAGCTGCAGCGCGAGCCCCAAAGGATATTCCAGATATCGCACTCGGATAATACGAGGCTCACGCGTTGGCAGATGCTGGAGAATGCCTCCAAAATGGGGGCCTATCTGAGGGGACAAAAGTTCATAAAGGAAACGGATATTGTAGGTCTGATGGCCAGGAATACGACACATGTGGCAGCCGTGGCCTATGGCTGCCTCTTCAACGGCACACCCTTCCATGCCGTTAATCCGAATCTCGAGCAGAAGACCATCAGGGATCTGTACAACATCACGAAACCGCGCATCCTATGCTGTGACAGTCAGGATTATGAGAAGATCAAGGACATGGCTGGATCGTTGGGTGCCATAGTTCTCATAGTCAATGGAAAGATTCCGCATGTTGCGAGCATCCCAGAGATACTGAAAACAGCTGTAAATGGAAACTATGAACCTTCAGAGTTCGCTGGGGGCATAAACCGCACCATGGCCATCCTTTGCTCTTCGGGCACCACAGGAACCCCCAAGGCGGTGACCATTTCCAACAGTCGCAAGCTCTTCGAGTGCCACAGGTACGCCCAAACGAAAGATACTCTCAGAGTGCACGGTTTAAAGATACTTTTTGCTGTAGCTACCTGTCGCCCAATGATGTCCAATATGCTCCCAGTACCCTGGATTGGCTGACGGGACTCATTTCTCTCGTCACGGCTGGAGTTTATGGCACTGTCCGTTTGATATCCAGCGAAATGTTTAGCCCTGCACACTTTTTGGAGATCTGTGAACAGAATGAAATCTCGTGGACCATTATGGCCAACTCCCATGTGGCCATGTTGGCCAATTGCCCGCAAACCAAGGCCCAGAAGTTGAGGAGCCTGCAGCACTTGCTCTTTGCAGGCGGCCACTGCCTTGTGGCGACTCTCAAGAAAATGCAATCCTTCCTGCACGGGCAGGGTATCCTGAGGAATGCCTATGGCCTGACGGAGCTGGGAGCTCTCGTATCCTACAACTATGACACGCAATCGAAGCCCGAATCGGTGGGTCGTTTGATGGCCAACATTCGAGTGAGGATTGTCGACGCCGCGGGGCACAATCTGGCGGTCAAAGGAGTGGGGGAGATCCTGCTGCACAATGGACAGCCGTGGAGCGGATATTTTGGCAATCCCAAGGCCACGGCGGAGATGCAGGACCCCGCAGGATGGTTCCACACGGGTGATATTGGCTACTTTGATGAGGATAACTATCTGTACATTGTGGAGCGGAAAAAGGACATGCTAAAGTATCTGGGAATGATGTACTATCCGCATGAGATCGAGGAAGTGATCGCCCAAATGCCTGATGTCTCGGAAGTCTGTGTGTTTGGCATGTGGCGCGAACAGGAAGGCGATGCGGCCGCTGCCTCTGTGGTCCTTCGTCCTGGCAGCCGAATCCAAGCCTTTGAGGTGGAGATTTTTGTGCGGGAGCACATCTCCGTGCCCTTCAAGCACATCCATGGTGGGGTGCAGATCGTGCAGCAGCTGGCAAAGAGTGCCAATGGAAAGGTCAATCGTCAGGCGGTGAAAGCGGACTACATAAAGCGGAGCTCCTCCTCCTCCTCATAGACAACCCACAGAGTCATGGCATAGATACGCAGATATAATTCATGCGGCATAACGAATGACTAAGCGAAAAAGAGTTTCACTTTTCAAAAGATACAGATACAAACTGTAAACCGCAAGCACTTTTGCCCCCTCTCACAAGATACAACGTATTTACGCGGATACTATCTAAACTTTTCACTGTAATATGTATCTGGCACACCAATAAAGATACATCTTAATCCGAATTAACAATTACACAAAAGATTATACAAATTACCACTGGAAAATTATACTTTTGTTGCTTAAGAAAACAATTTTTAATTTTGAAAATAAATTTTTAAAAATGTAATAAATAAATAAATGAAAATAAAACAATAATGTATTTTTGGGATGCCTAACAAGTATCTAAATTTGTTTTAGATACTAAATTTGTTTTGGTCCTATTTCCTTACTGTAGATATCTAGTAATCTAAACCAATATCTGTTATCATTAACAAACCACACAAAAAGATACTTTTTTATAAAGAAGAAAAACGGCTTATACTATTAAATCATATATGTATCTTTTGGATACGTTATAGTGTGCAAATTGATCTCTAAGCAAGTAGCTGCAATAGTAGCAAGTAGCTGCATCAGCACTTTGCCTTTTTATCGCTGGCCTATAATTTTCAAATCGAAGATTGAAGTTCATTTTCCAATAACAATAAGCACGCGACGAAAACGCAAACAAAAGAAAATTTCCCATCGAGTCATGAAGGCAGCCAGCCAGCCAGCCAGCCTCTACAGACGATGATGATGTAACATGCAGTAGAGTACCCCCTGCCCCTGCCACCCTGCCAAGTGCTGTGTCATGCATTTAGAAGATTCATTGAGATCGCGAACGGCACACACACATATGTACATTTCTAGAACTGCTCGTTCAAAAAGTGCCACTGGTCATTGTAATCTCAATCATGTGTTTCTGGGTTCTAATCAAAACTGAGTGTAAGTGTAAAAGTGAGGGTAAATCAACATGTAAGTGTAGGTGCAAGTGTAAGTGTAAGTGCCCACAAACTTATCTAAAAACAACAAAAAATGCAAATGCGAATCTCTATAAAAACACGACTGCAAGTCGCCAATTGTCATCAGTCGAGTACCAGACCTCAAATAATAGCAATACAAAAAGCATCAGAGGCAATGCCTTACGTACCCGCAAGTTCCTACGATGGAGACCTTAAGATCTGGAGTGGATCAGAGATCAAAGAGTACTTTGACCCGAATCTATCCATTGGGGAGATTATCTTCCATGAAATGAGGAGGCACCCTAAGCTGATTGCCCAAGTGAGTATCTGATTCCATCTATCATCAAGGGAGAGATACATCTGTATCTTCCAGATATCCACAACAGAGGAGACAATCCTCACCCGCGAAGAACTCCATTTGAATGCGATGCGTGTGGCCTCGTATATGCGTACGAAGGGTCTCCTCCAGTCGGATATCGTGGGTATTATCGCCAGGAATACCACCCATATCCCTGCCGTCGCGTATGGCTGCTTCTTCAATGGCATCGCCTTCCACTCGCTGAACATCGCCTACGATCGGGATACCATCGATAAGCTCTTCTCCATCACGCGGCCACGGATCGTCTTCTGCGACGGAGATGAGTACGAGAAAGTGAGAGAAGCCACTCGGGACATGGAGGGTGTGGAGATCGTTACGATGCGGAACCATCCAGAGAATGGATCGACGCCCATCCAGCAGATACTTTCATCCCCCATCGGGGAGAACTTTCTGCCCGTCCAACTGGAGCACGGCATCGATCAGACGCTGGCGATTCTCTGCTCCTCGGGCACCACGGGCATTCCCAAGGCGGTGACCATCACCAACAGTCGACAGATACTAGCCGGCTGCCAGTAAGTACTAAAGATACAATCTCTTAGATGTATATTTATCTTCTATTTCATTTGTAGCTCCCTAACCACATCGGATATTCAGTATTCACACAGCACCCTCGACTGGATCACTGGGGTCTTGACAACCATCACATCGGCAGTCTACAGCACTACAAGGATTATCGCAGATAATGTCTTCGATCCTGTGTACATGATGCGGCTCATAGAGGAGCACAAGATCACATGGATTATGCAGGCGCCCTCCCACATGGCAATGATGACTAATTCTCCGGAATTCGAGTCCGCAGACTTCTCGAGCCTCAGGTTTTACCTATTTGGAGGAGGTCGCGCTTCCGTCGAGACGCAGCATCTCATTAGAAGTCGCCTGAGCAGAGACTGTCTCCATTTTGCCTACGGCTTCACGGAATTGGGGGCAATGGCCACCATGAACTATCATTTTGATGAGAAACCCAACTCTGTTGGTCGCCTGGTGAGTGGCTTGAAGGCAAAAATAATATCTGAAGAGGGGGAATCCCTGGGTCCCGATGAGGTTGGAGAGGTGTGCATCCGGAATGGCCAGCACTGGGCAGGATACTACGGCAATCCCGAGGAAACTCATAAGGTGCGCGACTCTCAGATGTGGTTCCACACGGGGGACCTCGGCTACATGGATGACGATGGCTTCCTGTACATTGTGGAACGGAAAAAGGACATGCTGAAGTACCAGAACATCATGTACTATCCGAATGATATCGAAACGATCATCTCCGAGATGCCAGACGTCGCCGAGGTCTGCGCCTTTGGCGTCTGGGATCAAATCAATGGGGATGAGGCTGCCGCCGCTGTCGTCAAGAGGCAGGGAAGTGATCTGAAAGCCCAGGACATTGTGGATTATGTGAGAGATCACACGGATGCCAAGTATAAGCAGTTGAATGGCGGGGCCATTATCGTGGAGGATCTGAAACGGAGTCCCAATGGCAAAACGAATCGAATGGCCACCAAGGCGTATTTTTTGGAAGTTAAAGATAGAAATTAGGAATCAGAGGAAGCAACGAGAAATTATTAGAAAAAAATACGAAATAAAGAGTAGAAAAATACTATAAATAATATCGGCAAAATACCCAAAAAAAAATTATATTAATAAATAATTAATAATAAATAATTTTGAAATATAATGCTATTGAAAAAAAAGTTCTAAATAATATCAGAAAATATAAGTTAAAAAATATCAGAAAAAATATTGGTAAAATATAAAGAACACATTCCAGAAAATATTAGAAATCAACTAACCCATTTAATTTACTCTTTAATCTGCTATCTCTTTATATTTAACCTCTCTCTGGGCTTTTGGAGCTCTCTCTCGCTTTCTCTCTCAACTAAGTGACGTAGCAAAAAACCGTTTGAAAAACGCAAATCGCAATCGTAATCGGAAACGGTTATGGCGCGATAAAGCGTGATAAGATACGATATGTAAGGCGCCGGACAGCAGCACAACACACGCACCTGAACCTAAAGAGGAACCTCTCGCCAGTTGCTGTAGAACGTGCAAAGCGTTTGGACCCCGCCATAGACATCCGACATTCCGGAGAAAGCAGAGCGCTTATCAGCGGACGGACGGACGGACGGACCTTTCATTATGGAGCGCTCGAGCACACAATTCGATAAATATACGAAAATATGGAGTGGACCGAGGCCGCAAAGCTTTTTCGATGCAGATTGCTCGATTGGTAAAATACTGTTTGCATTTATGCGAAATCATCCATCGAATTTGTGTCAGGTAAAGGCTCTCCCCCCCTTCTCTAGAGATCCCTACCCAATTATATATTTCCTCAACAGATCTCCGATACAGAGGGCACTGCCTTGACCAACGGAGAGGCCATCTCCTTTGGCATTCGGATTGCCCAGCAGCTGAAAGCCTTGGGCCTCAAGCAGGACGATGTGGTGGGTGTGGCAGGCACAAATACCACATATCTAATGCCAGTGGTGCTGGGTTGCCTTCTGAACGGCACACCCTTCCATGCCGTGAGTCCTTGGCATGACGAGGACACCCTCAAGCACTTGTTCTCCATCACGCGGCCTAGGATCATCTTTTGTGATGGTCTCGTGTATCCTCGCATCAGCATCATTTCCAGGATGTTCAAGAGTCATGTGTACACCCTCAAGGATCATCGTTTGGGCATCCCTAGGGTGGAGGATCTGCTGGAACCCACCAAGGCAGAGCTTTATTATGTGTAAGGAAACCTTTTCCCTTTTGTATGTCAACGATACAATATCTGTGTTTTTGTTGCAGTCCCGAACCGCTGCTCTTGGGTGGCGATCAAACGGTGGCCATTCTGTGCACTTCGGGCACGACAGGACTCCCCAAGGCAGTGACCATAACCAATGCAGCTTGTCTATTTGATTTTGGGTAAGAACTACATTCCATTCCAGGATCCGTTCCCTCTCTAATCCCTCTCCTCTCCCGTTTCGTGTAGCTTTGTCACGGGCCAGGATGTTCTGTTATCCTTCAGCACCATCGACTGGTCCGCTGGCATGTTTCAGATGCTCTTCAGCGCCTGTCATGGCTCCACGCGCATAATCACAGATCGCGCCTACACCCCCGAATATCTCCTGCAGTTGGTGGAAAAGTACAAGGTCACGCTCCTCACATTGGTGCCACAGCAGGTGGCGTCTCTCATTAAGGCTCCAACGTTGAGCAAACAGCGACTCGCGACCATTCGTTTCATCAGCATTGGCGGTGGCAATTGCTATGTGGCGAATGTCCTTAAGATGCAGGAATATCTCCTCAATGGACAGATATCCTATGGCTATGCTCTCACGGAAACCGGGGGCGTTTCAGCCAATATGGGCGTGGCAAAGCCATCATCTGTGGGCAGAATTGTGCCAGGGGTGAGGGTGAAAATACTGGACGACGCTGGCCGCAGTTTGGGGCATGGCGAGACGGGTGAGATCCTCCTGCACAATGGCAAGCAATGGAATGGCTACTATGGCAACCCCAACGAATCGAAGCGGATGCAGGACTATCAGGGCTGGTTCCACACCGGTGACATGGGCTACTTTGATGATGAGAACTACCTGCACATCGTGGAGCGTAAGAACGAGATGCTGCGCTTCCATGGGGCCCAGTATTGCCCCCACGAACTGGAGCAAGTTATTGCCGAACTGCCGGATGTGATCGAAGCCTGTGTCTTCGGTCTGTGGAACGATGTGGATGGCGATCCAGCGGCCGCTGCTGTCGTAAAGATACCTGGCAGTCGCTTGAGCGAAATGGACATTGTACAGTATGTGGCCAAGCGACTGGTCGTCACCCACAAGCAGCTTCACTGTGGCGTCTTTTTCCTCACGGAACTGCCAAAGACGGGCAGTGGCAAGGTCCTGCGGCAGCAGGCACGCGACCAGGCTCTCGGGAAAAAGTGGTCCGACTACGGCAATGGCCACTAGATCCATTCAAATAGTTTAAGAATTCTGTTAGGCTTAAAAAATGACTCACACAGTCAGTATTTAATTCCATGCGCGGGCAAAAGATACAACCAAATAAATTCCAAACAAAAAAAAAACGAAAAACATTTTTGATATCATTTTTTTTGGTGGGTTCGTTGGCGGCTTATCTGTTGATGATTAGAGGCCGCCAGGTGCGATAGTTGCGGTGCGATTGAATGATGAATTGAACGATTGAACGATGGCCAAGAGGCAGGGTATAAAGGGTGTAAAGTAATTCAAGGGAACAACACACATGTTAGAGGTCAATCGTATGAGCAAGATAAGAGGGTAAAATGTTGTAAGAGAAATATCTATAGGAATGCCAATTAAGATTATCAGTTTATTGAGTCACAAAATTAATGAAAATCCATGCTCCCAGCGGTATTCTTTATGGGTTCAAGTCTTAGGGGATTACTGATTTTGTAAGAGGCTTAATATATCTAATAAGAGGATATTAAAAGAGACTCTACTCTCTAGAGTTCTTATAAAAGAGTGCAATTAAAGATTAAAAATCATTATATAACAAGTGAAAGTGCGATAAGAAATGACAATGATAAATAAAATAAATAAAAAAGTAAGCTATCAAATTTGCAGGCTCTCACTCACATTTTGTTTTATTCAATTTCATTTTTCTTCATCTGTTTAATATTTCAGTTTTCCTTCAGAATCAGTTTTAAAGTCTAGATTTTTTGTTAGTTCCGTACCGGACCCGTATGTACCGTTTTAAAGCTATTGAGTTTCCCCAATTTGGAAGACATTTTATCACAAAACACTGACAGAAATCGAGACCCAAACACTTCGACAGGAAACTGATTTTTATTTCGCATACAGCTAATGTATTAAGATATCACATACAGTTTTCGAGCCATATATTAAAACACAAACACATTTTCAGCCATTGAGACACAAACTCTTTAACAGAAATTTATTTTCTTCACATACAGTTTTAGAGCCATATATTAAAACACAAACACATTTTCAGTCATTGTGGCACAAACACTTTTTGAGACATTGATTTTCTTTACATACAGTTTTAGAGCCATATATTTAAACACAAACGCTTTGGGAGCCATTGGGACACAAACACTTTGAGAGCCATTGATTTTTCTAACAAACAGTTTTATAGCCATAGATTAAATCACAAACACTTTGGGAGCCATTGAGACACAAACACATTGACAGCCATTGATTTTTCTCACATAAAGTTTTAGAGCCATAGATTAAATCACAAACACTTTGGGAGCCATTGAAATTTGTATCACAAACACTTTTAGAGACATTGATTTTATAACTCAGTTTTAAACACAAACACTTTGAAAGCCATTGACACGCAAACACTTTGATAGTCATTAAATACGCAAAACAAAAACATGAAAATAAATCAAACAAAAAAACTCTGAAGAGAAACCCTCTTAGCATCTGCTCTCTTTTCTGATAGCTCTCTCGCTGCATCGGAACACACACACACATGTTGCTTTGTCCACACGCAATGCACGCACGCACGCAAAAAAAATTGAGACTTCTCAGGCATTTTGGTGGTTTGCACAGCTTATTTCGTACAGCCAAACGAACATTTCACTTTCTTTGCACTTTTCACTTATTTCACTGCACTCGCACACATTTATTAACACTGTTGGGTCTCGATCTGACATTTTGCTGCCATTTTTGGAGTTTGAGGACACAATTTGCCAAATTTGTATCGGAACGAAAACGAAAGCGACTTTTTCAGCTGCTGGCGAGTAAGCTTCTGATCAGCCGCCGGCTTGAAGCGCGCAAATTTGAGGGAAATTTAGGGGAATTAATTTAGGAAATTTAGGGGAATTAATTTAGGGAATTGAATTTCAAGGGAAATTTAGAACAACAGTTGAATAGAGGAGGAATAGAGGAATGAATAGGGGACATTTTGAGGAGAAAGCTTTAGGCAGACTGTGTTTACAGATTAAAGTCGCTCCTTTGCTCTACCGAAAGTTCGATCAACAGTTTGAGAGTGACTTCATTGAAATGTTTTTTCAGAAAATCTCCACTGCAATCATCAATCAGTGACAAAAATAAACAACTAGAGATAAAAATGAATTTAAAGTGCCACCCGTTTGTCAGTTCCCCTATAATCTCCCCCGTGAAAGATAACATTTTGGCAGATTCAAAGCCTCCACAAAGAGATCACCTGAACAGACAAACAGCTGAGGGAACTCATGTTGAGACCCTCGCAAAGGGAAGTACATACTTAATGGAAACAAACCCATTTACTTTTGTCCCAAATAACATTATTATGTTGATTGACAGGCCAAGAAGCAGCCGTTGTACGTGATCTTGTCAGCATTGCAATTGGATACTTTGTGCCCCCAAAGCATGCCCCATGGCCCATGCACCATGAGTGACATGTCTGCTCTGGCGACTGAGTCATGGATCGATGTGTGCAACATTCCCGAAATAAATGTGCAACAATTAAGCGGCCACTTAGAGGGGCAAAGAGTATTAATTTGGTCTCAGGGATCAGTGATAATGATCGCACCAGCACACACACACACACACACACACACACACACACCACTCAATCCCCTCCTCTGGGGTTGATTGACAGTTGGGAGAGCAGAGAGACTTCTGGCTGGCTCTTTCTGCTGCCGTTTTATACATACGTATGTATTTTCAATGTCAAGTTCAATGAAATCCGATATTTCTTATAAATAAATTCATTTTCTTGTGCATCTGGCGGATGGGTGATCATGTCTCTGGCTCCTCAGAAACCTGCTTCGAAATGGTATCCAGGAAGTGGCCAACCCAGGCAGCGCCAATGGGCATTAGTTCTGGCGTTCTGGCAGCCACTCAAAGCCGCCTGGCGCCTCCTTCGATCTGCGACTGCGTTTCTAATTGTCATGCAAATACCAATTATCATTTGTCAGTAAACGGCCACTAATTATAATCTGTGTGTGGTGTTTTTGTGGTGTACCCACGCTCTTTATTTTTTTATGCGATTTTCTTGAATGATTTCTGATTGCTGATCAGATCTCAGATCCAATCTCTCTCGCTGATTAATTCATTAGCCACTGTCGACCAGTTTGTCATGTTACATGGCACTGCTGGCACACCACACCAATGACTGCCACAGAGTCTCCGTCTGGCATAATTGGCATTTATTAATCGTGTAGAAAATATATACACACACACACACACACTTAGAGAACGCTGAGAGATTTATAATAGTGGCAACTAATTTACGTCTCGCTGAAGGACTGTTTAATTCCGATTAAAATTTGCATGTGTCAAAGCAAATCATTCACTTTGGGTTCTCTCTCCCATAACTAATTTCCAGTTTTCAGTTCCTGTACTTGTCATCTGATTGCCCATTCAGAACCTTTTGGATGGTAGAATACTCCTACAAAAACCATGCCTCAGCTAAAAACGTATTAAGTCATCTGTAACCTTTTTTATGAAGCAGAAAATCACAGGAAAATGCTCTGTTAATACCCTCTTTCCAGTACAAGGCCCGAACAACTTTGACACATTGCTGTGCAGCGTATGGAGGGGCCTTGCTGTGGTTGCTTTGAATGAAGGTGGAGCGGGAGCTGCCTCTAATGGAGGGGCAGGGAGCGTTGGCAGCCTCTAATAAAGGAGGGGCGGTGATAAATAGTATACAATTTATGGCGCTTAAATTGCAGTCATGCGCATGAGGCGGCAATGGCTAACAAAATCACATCCTCCCTATCCCTATCCGTTTGCAGACCCTTCCCTTTTAACCCCATCGATTGGTACGATTGCTGCGGCTTAGAGCGGATGTTTGGTGTCAAAACACAAGCAAGCGGGGCTCGCTGCATTTTCTATGGAATTCTATACCGGACCTGGGAGGGATCCTGGGTCCCCTGTAATTTATGTGCAACGAAAAACAAGAGAGCAGCGCGCGACGCGTACGATTGGGGATCGATTGGGGATCGTGCGGGCCATAAAAACTACTACAGCTTGTGTTCGGTTCTGTTGTGTTGTGTTGTTGGGTGCCTTTATCAATTTGTGTTCGAAAGTTTTTTCCTTCTAAGCACGAAGCAGCAGGCAGCGGGCGGGGCAGGAGATCATAAAAGTTGCAGCCAGCCTCTGCTGAGGCCTCTGGAAAAGTAGGAAAAATTTACATAATTACTGCCTGGCGGGTGCTTTGTGGAGAGGCCGCCGCCACCGCCCGAACGTGTCAAAATGAAAAGTGTTGCATGATTAGCGAGTAAATTATGCCGCCGAGGCATAAATCTAGTCTGTGAAGATAATCAAATAAAATGTGGCGATTAATAAAAAGATGAAGATGCAACCCACAGAGAGCAGAGCAACAACAGGCTCTGCTGTCTGTAGTCTAGGAGGAGTCGCCTCCTTTGTGCTGCAGATCTGCTCACCATCGACTGGCGCCTGGAGCGTGCGAATTTCTCGTTTTGCCGCCCCGTTGTGGGAGGTGTGAAGAATGGTTAGACGGTGGGCAGGGCATGGACAGGGGCAGGGGCAGTGGCAGTGGCAGGAGAGAACTCTGGCAACATGTTGCCCCTTGGCTGGCGGTCGGACATGACACATTGTTGTTCGCATGAAGCATAACTTGGTCAACAAGCGAAACGATCGCTGGTGAGATGATGCCACAAGTTGATGATGATGCCGCTGCAGATGATGAAGCCTGCGGCTAGATGCAGCAGATTGAAAACCGGCTGCTGAAACGAACACTGAAAGAAATGGTGGCGAAATGAAAGCAAAATGGAAGGCTTAATTTTTAACGATTTTAAATGTTATTTAAGTGGATTTTGATTCAGAATTTTATTTTTCTCAGCTCATCTAAGGGATTTTCATGACGTTTAAATTTGCTTTAGCTTGAAGTTCCATTTGTTTCGTTGCAGTGTCGAACATATTGCCGAGATTGCCGCAATAGATACGATTCCTTAACACCATCCTGGTCTTGGGGGCCAAAAAGTTGCTGTCGCCGATGTTGTTAAGAGCAAAGTGTTGTTAGCCAAGGCCCAGGCTCGGGCTGCGTCTTTGACTTATTTTTCACTTGTTTTTTTTATATTTTTTTCATTTTAGCGGTGGTTTCGTATTACCGTTCGACCAGCAACAGCAGCAGCAGCCGAAGACCGAGACCCGGTCAAGGTCTCATCTGCCCCAAGTGTCTCTTTAGCCAATTCCATTGAGAGCGACCATTTCATTGAGCCACCAACCAGTCCGTGGCATGGCATTCCACAGACAGTGGACTTCTACTCTGGCATTGCATTTCCTGTCGCATGCGCCATATAAATTAGTTTTCCATGTTCACTTGTCACTTGTATCGGACGGAGCCCAGACCAGCCGTTGAACCCGTTTGTTGGCCCCCGGTCATTGCGGGTGTCCATTCCACTTAGAATCGAAAACCCTTATCACTAGACGACTCTTAGGCCTCGTCGTCGTAGTCGTCGTCGCTTGCAGAATTTGCAATCAATTTTGGCCAAGAAGCCAACTAATTGCTTTTACATTTTATTTATTTATAGGGGCTCCTACACACGCACCACGACACCACGAGACCCCAAGCCCCATTGATAGCTGATAGCTCCATATATAGGTCTTTTGGCCTTGAGTTTAGACCCCTCCCCCCTTATAATGATTACGGTAATCAGAGCAACTAGTTAGCTAAATGTCGTACCTTTACTATGGGGAGAAAAAGGCTTTACTTTACGCCGAAACACTTTTACTTGCTTATCGCTAAGGCCATAAATTATGTTTTCCTTCAAAGAATTTTCCTTGGAAATTATGCAAATGAATGAATGACAAATTATCTTCTGTATTGTGGGGGCCTTATCAAGTCCCAAACATTCCCTCGACTTTCTCATTCGAATTTCGAATCCCGTTTGCTGCCGCTGGAGCTGCAACACGCACAAGGTCCGCGGCTCGAACCCGGGCGGGAACAAGTCTGAAATCATTTTTTCCTTTTTCAATGTCAACTTTTCATTTACTCCCATTTACATTCAATTTTTATATCATTTTAATGAGCCGCGTTTTATGATAATTTCCGGAGTGTGTGCTGGTATTTATAAACATTTCAATATTCTACTGTTTTACGAGCTGCATGTCATCATCACAAGCATGACTTCGACTCCCTGTTATTTTTATGGCCTTTATTCTGTGGGCCCACCCAAAGAGGTGAAGGTTGTAGGCAAATAGAAAGTACATACATATGTACATATGTACTTCCATATATTGAGGAAAGTGCTCCGAGAACCATCAATTAAATGGAATATTTATGATGTTGTGCATTGAACTTGAAGAAATTTGAAGGAAATTTGAAGATATCTTGCTTCTCATGCACAAGGTTACCGGCTCGAACCCGTGCGGAATCAACTTAATCATAACCAAATTGATTTGTTTCAACTTTTTTCTACTAAAAATCTTCACTTTATCTTCATTTCATCTTCATTGTTCTTCCTTGGCTAAAATTTCATTTCCTTCGAAAAATTTGATTTTACCTTAAAAATTAGTAAATCAAAATATTTGAAAGCTTTTTGTGCAAAGCTTTTTTTCTAAAATGAAATAAATATTCATACAAATAGTTGGAAAAGCATTCAAGTCGAACCCAAGACACAACACGTTCATCAGGGGATGTAGCTCAGATGGTAGAGCGCTCGCTTAGCATGTGAGAGGTACGGGGATCGATGCCCCGCATCTCCAGGATTTATTTTTTTCACTTTTGGTTTGGACTTTAATTCTTTTTCATTTTCTCTTAAGTAATGCATTTTTGCTAGGGGCTGTATTCATAGTTAACCCAAAGTCGGCCGTCTGGCAGTTTGATTGACATGCTCTCCCATCGTCCACGACATTTGGTGTCCAATTATTTAGTAAATAGAATATCATGCCGGTTACAACTACATTTCACACGCTTTTCCCAACTAACTTCCAGTTATGCAATCGAGTTTTGGCTCTGGTTCTGGTTCTGGATCAATGCATGTAGCTCTTTAGGCTGTCTCTCCATTTCCCGGGTGTGCGCCCAGCCAGCAGAGCAGGCATTGCAGCTAATCCAATTAGGTATCATTCATCATGTTCACGCAATGCAGGCCATGAACTAGAAATGCAACTAAAACCCCGGGACGGACCCCCAGGCTCAGTCCAGCCAGCGGGTGGATCGGATGGGAAGCCAGAGATTCTGCGGATAGAACGTTTTGACATTTCCGTCATGTTTCGGATGATTGAAATCTGTTTAATTAAATTTAAGTTTGGAATGCGTTAATTTTTCTAGATTCTTTCTCCTTTGGTATTTTTTCCAACGATCTGTGAGAGTATAACCCCTGCTAAGAATGCCTGATTCCTAAGATAATCCCTTGATTTAGCGCCACTCGTGATTTTTATCTCCAATTCCATTTGCATGGCCTATTCCCATATTCATTAATAAAACTATCTAATCTTTGGCCACCACTTGACTTTGGTTTGGCAATGGCATTGGCATTGGCATTGAATGGCCAATGGCTGCAACCGAATAGATTGGGGGGCAGCAGCTGCTGGGATACCCACTCGATTGGATGTGATTGTGGATCTGCATGAATCAGCGGTATAATGCGGTGTGTATTCTCCATACGTCACGTAGACCTGGGGCTGCAAGTTCCCCAAAACCCGAATGACATTTTGTGCGAAAGCAAAAAAAAAAAAAATCAAATAAACAGCAGCAGACGTAGGCGAAAAAATGCGGCTGTGATGGGGTAGTCGCACTTGGAATACTCTACGAGAATGTAGAAAGGCTCGTACTAGTTGCATCTCCCCCTAAACAATCTCATCTACTCTTTTTCTATGTTTTAATCCATTTAATGTCGCATGAGCTTTACTGAACTCATTTTCGATTGCGGATTATAGCAGCGATTACGCGACTCATGACGAAAGGTAGACAAAAACGATGTGTGTGTTAGTGCATGTCGGCGCCAGCCGGTGATTCTCTCTCTCTCACGGATCGAATGAACTCTTCTAAGCAGCCGAAGCAATTGCTCGCATTTAAAGCTGACAGGGACAGGTGAGAGGAGAGCACAAAATGGCTGGATAATGATGAGAGCAACCTGTGTCGTAAGCAGCTGGGCAGGTGGTGTATGGGAGAGCGTGTGAGGAGTGTGTGCGGAGTGCGGAAATGCAGAGCGCGCGACAACTGACGTCATCCATCGGCCATCTCTTTTATGCTTACGCCAGCGTTATGATCGAACACGAGAGAGCGTTTAAGTTCGTTTTTATGTTGCCAAGAGAGCTTTTCGTTTGGGTTGGTTTCGTTTTCACTTTTTATTTTATTTCGGCTGCTGTGTGTGATGGATCAGACAGAGGTGGGGGGTGGTGGTTGGGTGGCTTATGGGGCGGGAGCCTCGTGTTTCGTCTATTCATGCGAAAAATCCACCAGACCCCAGGCCAGCCCAGCGTATGAATGAATATGAAATGTGGGAACAAATGAGGCGAACGGCAGCCAGCAATTTCGCCATTTCAAGGCCTACGTGACTTGTCTCACACACATGGAAATGGACTGCGACTGCGGTTCTGGCAGACAGACAGACGGACGGGGCCAGGCAGGTTTCGTCTCTGGGTGCAGAGTCCCCGTTATTTGAGCGTAAACTAGCTCAATTCGCATTTATTATTTAATCGTCTCTCTGCCACCCCACACTGGGATCACTCTCTCTCTCTCTCTCTCTCTCTCTCTCTCTCTCCTTCTCGGTGAGACGGCCACATGATCTGTACGCTTCTGGCACGTGCTGACCGTGCTGGGTATTACGACAGAGAAAAAGGTCTTTGACTGTTGTCAGCTGATTCTAACTAGAGAGAGGGAGGCAGAGAGAGAGAGAGGGCGTAAGGTGTTATCTCCTTTTCACCTGCTTGACAGCATAATAATGATGACAATCGGAACAAAACGGTAATTTAGGGAAATTTCCAGTGGTACCATAAATTCAAAGATAAGATTTGTTTTGTGTTTTTTTTTTTAATATATTTTGAGTTTATTTACAGCAGCTTTGTTTCAGTTTTCTCCTTACCTTTCTCTTTTCAGTCTTAAATTATAAATACGAAAAATATTAAACTTTTTTTTTTGTTGTAGTATCTGGTATCGTACTAGTAGAACTCTTATGCTTATAGATCAGGAACTTTAGCTTTTCTTTTGTGTGGTGGATCGGTCATCACTCTCTCTTTCTCTCTTCATAGGATGCTTCTTCGCAGGAACATCAGCGGCAGGAACAGCAGACAGTGGCTGTAAAGTTTATATAGAATATTATAGTGGGAATCATGGGGAATCAGGGACTTATCTTATAGCGAAAGATATATTGAAAGCCATGCCAAAAAATATATAAATGAGTGAATTGTGCTAAATTTTGTATAAATTTATTTCAACGTGCAAAATGCCATGCAAAAAAAAAAAGAGATATATATAATGCTACTCCTCTTACCACTCTTCAATCTATAATAAAAAAATTCGAACAACCTCTCGATATTTTTTGATATTAATGTATTTTTAATTTTATTTTGTTTAGTTCTGTTTTGCTTTGCTTTCTCATGCTCTTTTCTCGTTCTACTCACTTAGATGGAAACGTTTTTTTTAAGTATAACAAAGATCTGTTAGTTCTAGGGAAACTTAATCTAGTAGTCTATAAATAAATAGTATTTGCAAATAAATAAATAACTCAATTTTTACATACAAAAAACTACTGGCTATAATTTCACGCTTATCTCTGGCCGATCGATCGATTCGAAAATAAATATAAATTACATACATATTAGTTTGTTTTGCTCAAAATGTTTATAAATAAAAATACAATTCTTGTGATTTGTGAGTTTTTTTTTAATCGTTTTCATAGTACTTAACCTAGGGACTAAAACCGTGTGTTTCTATGTACAAGAAGGTTCTCTCAACATATTCGAAATTTTCTCAGCTTCGTTAACAGCGATTACAAACGATTCAAATGATTTAAAGCGTACTCTGCAAGTTATCGTTATTGTTTTCAATGTGGTCGTATTTTTGAGTATTTTTTTCATCGTTCTTCAAGAGACTCAAGTATTTCAATAGACTTTCTCTTATTAGATCTGGTGTTATGGCCTGCGATTATACATATACATATCTGTTCTGTTCTGTTGTCGGATGAGCGTGCAATTTATCGTACATTTCGATGGTAATTCTAATCCAATTTTTTGGGGCGTTCTTATAAAATACTCGAGACTCCGTCGTAATACATTTTGATATTCATCATGTGTGTGTGTTTATGGGGGTATCATCGCTGGGGGGACAATGGTCCGCTGCATCAAAAATACTTTAGTAAACCACAGTTCTTGGGTGGATATAACATATATATACACATATGTATGTATGTATGTATGATGTATGGTGGTGTGTGGTGTACTTTATGTGCGATGTGATGATGATGATGATGAAGGTGTTGTTGGAAACTTGCAAATTACAATATCGTTCGCATACTCTCGGTATCAACTTTTTACACTGAATATTTCTTGATTTTTCTCTCACTTTTATATTAGTTATTCGACTTGCTTCCACACTTTGTACTTTTTTAATTTAATATTTCATTTCCTTGTTGCCAAACCAATAATGAAAAATTTTCAATTTTCCAACTACATAAACAAATATAAATTTTGTAAAACCAAAAATATGATTTAAAAGAAAACCAAATAACCAAAAAAAAATTAAATTTTGTTTTAAATAAAAAATTATATTAATTCTGTTTGCAAACAGTACAAAATGTGAGAGATAATGGTAAAAATAGTTAATGCCAATCAGAAAAAAAAAATAGTTGAAACATATTTAATAAAATTTGGAAAAATTTTAGTCTTAAATTTTTTAAACGTTTTTTTTTAGTTCCAATTTTTAGGTGGAAAATAAATGTGAGAGTTAGGGGTAAAAGTTAAAAATTTTGATTGTTGATTTGAGGAAGGGGAAAACTCACAAATCGTAGTACAGCGAATCATCGCCTGCTGCGGCGCCGCCACCGCTGCGCGCATGCGCCTCGGATGTGGCATCCTCGTAGCTGGCATCCTCCAGGGATCCCTCGTCCTCGTCCTGCTCCTCCTCCACGCTGCTCATGCGGACATTTCGCTCCACCCGATCGCTGGTTTCGCTTAGCGCCATCGATGGCAGCGGGGAGCTGCTCTCCCAGTGGGTGTCGGAGGGCGTGGCCAGGCTGGTGGCCATCGTCGTCGTGGTGCCGGGACGCTGCTTGCGCTGCTTGCCACCGTTCAATGCTGCCCCTCTGGTCTGCTGCAGTTGCTTCTTGCCTACCATCGGACGCTGCTTGCCGCCCTTCGGTGGCTTCTTTTTGCCACCCGGCTGGCCATTGACCGTTCGCGGACGCTGATGGACGGCCTTGGGCAGGGACGAGGATGCTTCTGCTGCGCCTCCATTCTTTTTTGCACCATTCTTCTTGCCACAGTTGGGTGGCGGACCACCCTCTGCCGCCGCCTTGTCACGCAGCTCCTTGCAACGCTGTGCCTTGGGGCCGCGCTTTCTCAGCGCTCCAGCACCGCCCGCGGGTCGCTTTGGGCAATTGTGCTGCTCCTCGCTTTCGTGGAGCTTGCACATGCGTCGCTTCTTCTTTTTGTTCTGCTTTGGATGCAGATGCGGAGGGGGATGCAGGGAACTGCTATGGCTACTGCTACTGCTATTGCTACTGCTATTGCTGGTACTATTACTAGTGCTAGTACTAATGCTACTGCTAATATGGCCGCTCTCGCTTTGACTACTGTTACTAATACTAATCAGGCTACCGGCACTGGCCGCATGCACAGGCACTGCAATGCCACTATTTCTGCCAGTTGTGGAGGAAGTAGCAGTTTGCTTTGCACTTCCTGTGCCTGTGCCTGGGCACAACAAACTGCTACTTCCCCCACAGCTAGTGGTGATGGCAGCACTCGCACTGCTGCTAGTGCCACTCGTGCCACTTCCATTGCTGCTACTACTGCCACTGCTGCTGCTACACTCTGGTGGCTTCTTGAAATTCACCGCATCAATCAATTCAATCAGCGGCTTGCCCGTATCACAGAGTTGCCGTACGCCATGCTTGATGCGATTTGCCCCAAAATTCTTGGCTATCAACTGCTCCACACGCTCTTGCGGCACCGTCTCCGTGATGGCATTCGTGTAGGTGGTTAGCTTGCCCAGCGAACGGCTGGCCGGGATCTGTGTCCGCCGGGGCTCGCCATGACGATTCAGGGCCAAGTAGTAGACCCTTCGGGCATTCGAGTTGTAGGTGGAGGAGTATGTGTTGTAGTTCTGCAGGCCCATGTTCTCGTTGAAGACACAGTCGTCGGTGAAGTCTTTCTGCAACAAATCGAAGAGCTATCATTAAATGATTTGGCTACAATAATTATCGAGTACAAGTAAAGTAAGAGCCAGGGTGGACTTAAAAACTATTAAAAAGTCATGGAAAAGGATTGGAAAGTAATTCAAAGCAATAGGAAACTATCGAAAGTGATTGCAAAGTGATCGAAAGAGATTGAGAGGCATGTAAGATCCACCAAAGGTACATCAAATCAACGAATGCTCTGCCGTTTTGCGTCATGCAGCAGTGCCACTCTGTTGCCTCTGTCCCTAGGCTTCTACAGAAGCAATGTCCACTAAATGGAACCAATGTTAAACCCTTTTGGTGGCTCAAATAAAAGGCCACTTCAAAGCGGGGCATTCCACAAGAATCATTACCAAAAACGAAGCCCATGCTTTGAATTACCAAACAGTTGTGGCCAGGGCGGCGGCGTCTATTCTCTTTTGTCTATCAAATTGTGGAATCTCTGAGATAAATGCGCTCATTATCACAGGATGTGCTCCCTATCGGTGTTGGCCATCCAGATAGCCATCGATTCCTGGCCTCAAACCCCATAAACATTTCTACTTTATGAATGCCACATGACAGCCAGCCAGCGCCGGCACACAAAGGACAACAACAACAGCAAACAGCAGTTGAGAGAAATCGAAAAGAATTTCCAAATCCGAAAAAGAAGGAGTGAAATTTTCACATTCGTTTTAGGTAGAAATGTAAATTTCAAGACCAAAAGAAAAAGGATGCCTGGGAGGGGATGGGACGGGATGGTGGCCTTTGGAGATGTGCCGACCGACTGGCAGACGGGCAGGGCAGACTGCCTGAAGATCAAATTCAATTAACAACATTGAATTAATTCGCTTGTCAGGCAATTAAAATTGTTTCGTAAATAAAATGGCAAACAAAGGGGAAGGTACCGCAAAATGTCGCCGATTAAATTTAGAAATTAATCAGGCTGAAGTCAGGAGCGAGACGCGATCCAATCTGATATGAAATGAGGCATCAAATGAGGCAACAGGCAACAGGCAGCAGGGGCGATTCACAAAGATTGAGGCACAAAATGTTGACGCCATCAACAAACGTTTTTTGAGTTGTGTTGTTGTTTTTTTTTTTGTTGGGGGTTGGAGGTTGAGGTCGTGCCGCGACGAGACACATTTTTGTGACATATGTGACAACAAAGTCGGTGCTAGTAGGGCTGGCTGGCTGGCTGGCTGGCTGCTGCTCTTTCCCCAAAGAAGACTCCTTCCTCTTTCACTATTTTATTGTGTGGCACAGTCTTTTATGTTATTTCCTAGCATTTGGATTTATTTTTAGTTTTTAGTGTCTTGCAAGTGACAATTTTTGCAGACAGCAAAGGGAAATGAAATGAAGTTGTACTTTGATAAAGAAAAAAAACACACACACTCAAAGAAAAAGAAGAGAATTGAATCGATATCTAGAGAGCCATTAGCTCTAAGACACCTCTCTATTGGCGCCAGGGCCAAGGGTCAACCGGTTGTTTCTCCCTCTCTCTATAGATAAAAAAAGAGTTTCCAGAAAGAAAACACCTACAAGCGGAACCACTTAGAGAATCATCAGCGCCGCGTGACGCGTTCCAAAGGGTCGTGAGATATCGCCACTAAACAGGACAATAAGCATGATAATGATGCAACATATTCATTGGGCAACGACGACCATTAATTGGACTCCACGAAAACCCTCACAGCGTGTGGTCTGTGGTCTGCCCAGAGAACAAATTATGCAAATTAATAAGCCAAAAACAACATTTTAATTGGTGACTCAGCCAGGCAAGGGGTTTTCGGATCTGCGGGGGGTTCTGAGAATTTATGAATTGGCAAACCATTTTGGGAGGGTTTCAATTAGCATGCAAATCACCTGCCAAGTCACAAGATTGTCGCGAAAATTATTTAAAATATTAAAATGTAATGAAATGCTGTCACGAGGCGGCAAAATCCATTTGCTAGAGTAATTTCTTTATAAATAGAAACACAGGAAAGAACAGAACAGAGCAGAGACTCTGAAGAGTCTTTCGTGAGTAATTCACAACCAAAAGTTGCAATAAAAAAGTGTAAATTATATGTCTGTGTTCGCTGGCAGGCCGGACGCGCTGGGGTCGCCAAAATAAACAACAAGAGCCAGCCGCCCACTTGACCAACTTTCGAAGATATGTTGGCGGGCGGCTATGCAGTGCGGCGCCTTCAAAGGGCTGCAACGCCGCCGCTGGTGAAGCGCATCAATCAACACCCCAGCAGCAGCATCCACCACACCACACACCGCAAAGTATCTTTCAGATACAAATCGAATGCCTACTCGCGATGCGGCTGACAGAATTGGCACAGTCGCTTCTATTTCGAATGCGAAAAAGGTCAAAGTGCCATGCGACATCGACAGCGGAAAGAAATGAAATAAATTCAAGCAGAAACAAAAACCCAAAAACCAAAAACCAAAATGTAAAAAACACTAAAAACTAATGTCGCCCGAAATGCAATCACTGTTGCATGGCGCCAGACCAAAAAAAGGCAGCATCGCTCCGCATCTCGCTCCGAGCGTCACAGCGGGATAAAGTGTCACATTAATTGTGAAAGGAAGGCCGTCCAGGCACAAAGGACCCTCCAAAAGGACAACCGATATCACTTGGCACTTGGAAAGGTTCCTCCTTGCTGGCTGCTCTTCGCTCTGTTGCTCCTGATCGTGTTGCTTTGTTTTTGTTCACATTTAATTTTTTATTTATTGACTGGCAAAGGAGAGCTCTTCTCTTTCTTTTATGTGTGTTTGTCGGGGTTTACCTCAATCTTTTAACAGTTCCTTTGTTTTGGGCTATTTAAAGAGAGAGAGGTTTGTTTGCGGAGGGGGGGGATAAAGAGAAAATAGAGCTATCGGCAGAAGAATTGCAGAAGCGTGTAATTGTAATGCGAAAAATAATTTCACTTCATTGAAGTTCACTTAAGGGATGTCTGTATTTTGCACTCTCTATCCTGACTATCAGGGCTTGTCAGGGATTTATACATACATCATATATTTTTTTTTTGGTTATAATGTTTAGCTTACTTACCGAGCCATAGACAGCGCCACAGGCATCCATGCACAGATACAGGCATGTGGCCACACTCTGCAGCTTAATGCGTCCCACATCCACAGTGGAGCGCTGGAGAATCGCTGCAAAAAAAAAGAGAGGGCGCAGAGAAAGTCTCATATTAATTAATTATCAATCACAGTCTGACCCACAAAAAAGAAAAAAGAAAAATACAGAGTGTCAGGATGTCAGTTGCCGTAAAGGGCCCAACGTCCAACGAGTTGTTAATTGCATACACATACCCAACACCTGGCGAGATGTCGGGGAACCAGAAAAAGACTTGAAACTGCTCTTCAAAAACATGCAACAAACAACAAAAAGTAACTACAACAAATATAAACCATTTAAAGAAGTTCCAGCTGCGATCCACTTAATCATAGATTCCACATTTGTCAACCCAATCGAAAGATGCCCGGAAAGTGGACATAAATTATATAAAGATCATTCCTTCGGGTTAATTGAAACTGCCGCCTTGCACTTGAAGTCTTGCAATGATATGAATAAATACACAGACACCAAAAAAAATTCAAGTTCAACATCGTTTAAGGTCAAACCACTTGTGTGGTCGGTCCCCCAGCAGCAACAGCAGCAGCAATGAGAGGCACTGTGGAGGACCGCCTGCCTCTTTGTCAGTTGGCACTGTGGCGGCTGTGGCTATGTGGCTCCGTGGCAGTGGCCTGGCGGCCAAAGTGTGTCAGCACTTGTGCAGCTCTTGCAGCTCTTTTGTGCTCTTTTGGAGTGTTGTTCGTTCAATGAACTTTATGCACTTTGTGTGCATAATAAACATCAATTTATAAATATCGCAGCTTGTTACGGGAGCAATTTCCATAGGAAATGGCAAATCGTAGCCAGCTGCTGCTGCTTCAAAAGCGGCAAAAGAATTTCCGAGGTTCATAATAAAAAAAATTATTATTAGAGATTATGGATACCCCGTAATGCCCGGAACACACACACACACATAATCGAACATCTAACGCGGGGGCCAGTCCCCTGACTAGACTCCAAGGCGAGTGGAGTGGCCACTTGAGTGATGGAAAAACTATGGAAAAATTGTTTATGGAGAGGAAACAGTTTTTGGCATGCTCTCATGATATGATATGAGGATGGGAGTGCATTTATTAACCATCTAAAATTGATGTATATTTTAATGACAGTTGTGGAGAGTAGAGGGTATAAGGATATTTGTGGATGTATGTGTATATGGAACGTTCATTCCCTTTAAGAACTTTTTAAGTGATGTAATGCCCAGGAATTATCTCATTTCTCTCTCTCTCCCGTTCCCCAGAGTTCACTTTTGTGTGGAAACTGTGCCAGGAGATAAACAGACAGACGCTATGGCGGCGGAGGCAAATATCATAAAATACTGCTGTCAATAGGCCCATGCAATTTATGGCCCATATGGGTATACTACCGTATCTGCAACTGCAACTGCAACTCCGGCCACAATACAGAAAAGGCATGCGTTTTTATTTACAGCGCCTCCCCCCTTACCACTTTCCCTTAGCTTTCACACCCGGAACACCATTCTTCCTCTTGGACTTCCAGTGCCAGAATTTACCCCCCCAATCTTCTCTTCTGCCTTTTCTTTTACAATACGGAAATTGTAAACTTATGGCAAAACCAACAACAACAACAACAAAATACCATGTTCCCGTTCTTCCCTTTCCCAGCGTTTCTTTCGTTCCGTTCCCGTTTATACGATAGATTTATAATTTCCCTCCCAACCAAAAGAAATTCCCATTGACATGAGTAATTGTTCCCGTTTGTACGTACACTAGCGCAGAGAATTTTGGACATTTAATGCTGAGCTCTCTGTTCTGACAGCACCACCGACGATTTGGTACCCTATCTCTATCTTCTATGGAAACTCTAGGAGATTCTGTGCTCTGCAAACGTCTAATCAAACTCATAATACCCTCTCCGATAGGGTATCAACAAAAAACAGACATACTAAACAAATGACATGCTAAGCGCGTCAGTTCATTTGTTAAAATCAATGGGGTGGGAGGTGTTGGTGGGGCAGGGGAGCCGGCCCGCCCAGTGACAGCCTTGCCTTTCACTTTGCTGTCCGTCCCCTAGCCCCGATTGCCCCCCGTAATACCCATGTGGTGTTGCATTTCACTTGCGTCGTGCTGGTCGTGGGTTGCTTGCTGCGACTCTTTTCGACTCATTTAAAAAACGATTTGTTTTGCTCGAGTTAACAAAACGTAATTTTCTTCTTTTTTATCTTTTCAGATATAAGTATGTGTGCAGCGACAACATTTAGCGTATTAAATTGTTTCAAAAAAGAATAATTTATATTTATTCTTGTGGGAAACATTTCCATTGAGAGTCGATGCGCTAGCTCTGTCCCTTTCCAACAGCCATACATACGCTCAGCAGAGAACAGAACAATACCAGAGAATGGTTGTTTGTGCTCTCTCAGCATATCATAGAACTTTGGCGTAAATGTTCGCATGTGGCGCCGTGGCTTAGTTGGTTAAAGCGCCTGTCTAGTAAACAGGAGATCGTGAGTTCGAATCTCGCCGGGGCCTATGCCTGATTGTGAAGGCATTGTATTTATTTTGTTTTTTTCTTTTTCTTTATATTTCAATTAAAATATATGGACTCTCATTTTTTATTGGCTATTTCTTTTTATTTATTCAATTTTATTTGATGTATGCAATGAAAGCAAAAAGTGCTTCCATGAAACTCGTATAATTTTCACCTAATACCCATATAAATGTTTCCCATTTGCTCAGTCTATTATTATCCGACTTATACAATAACAATATCGTTTGAGTATTGTGTGGAGGTGTGAAATACATGCATAATGATAATCAAATGATCTTTTATTGATCAATCAATGTGTCGAGTGGCAATTCAATCAAATGGGGATTGCAGTTCATTGAACCATCCAATCCAAATTCCTGGCACGCTTCTGAGCTGCTTTAAATTACCCACATATTAAGCACGTAGTCCGCTTCGAATCCGGTGAGACAGACGGAAATATGTACAATAATACGACCCCGTCGTCCAAATGAATGTCACGCTCTGACAATAATTAAAATGTCAAAAAATATGCCTGTCAAAGAGTCGAAGTTTTTGGAAGGTGCTCGATTGAGTTATGTGCCACGGATGGATGGTTCCATCCTCCTATAACTGTTAAAGGAGTGAGGGAAGGAGGGCAGAATGCATGTATGCAAATGAGACCTTAATTTTTGACCAATTTATGTGCAGACCCAAAAGACTGACAAAAAAGAATAAAATATAATCGGCATCCATAAATGTATATGAAAAGCATTTTTATTATATTTTTAATTATGCTTACATACAGAAAAAAAAAGTGTGACGTTTTGGCGTGACATTTTATGAAAATTTACGATCACTTTTGTGGTTATTTAACATAATACTCGGAATGCTATGCACAGCCCATAAAAAAGATATCTCTGGGAACATCTTTCTTTGTCCTCCCCAAAAGATATTTTGAATGCTTTGTTCGGACTCTTCACTACTGTGCCACGCCGTCTTTTGTGGCGTTTTTCTGTTTGTGGCCTTTGTGGTCTGTAATTTATGATCGTGGGCAGCGTATTTTGACAATTTGATTTGAATTAGAGGGCGAGCATATCAATCAATTGTGGAGCCCAAACAGACACACTCCATATGTCCCCCAGAGATTGCCGAAGAGTTAACAGTCAGTCGTCTGTCTATTAAAGGCCAATTAGTAGCCACTTTATTGAGTTGTCGTTTTGAGGCCATAAATCTTGGGCCTTCCTGTAGTTCCTCTTGGCAATAAATCAAACTGTGGGCGGTGCTGCGATACGATAAGCAGATCTATTTAGCATTTGCAGGTGGCTTTAATTTTCTTATTTAATCAAAGCTACTTATGTAAATGTTTGTGCCGCAATGTGAAAGCCGCCCTGGGCCTGTGCCTGAGGCACAGTTCTCACCCTAAATTTGTGTGGCATTTCATGGTTCGTTGGAGAAATTGCAATCCCGGTATCTTTTCCGGTATTCGCATCTCATACGAGTATTAACACCCATTCAAACACTCAAGCACAATCGTCGGTGAGTGGCAAAATTCAATTCACAGTTGGCTAAACCTCGCACCCTCTTCCGCGACTCCACACTCTCTCTCTCTCTCACTCTCTCGATTGTATCTTTGTATCTTTTTTTTGGGCAATTGAAATGCATTTTTTTTGAGGGGTTGCCAACGGATATCCTGCAACCGAAAACCTTATTGGCCAATTTCCGATAAAAGCAAAATGCGAAAATGCGCAAATAAATAAATTACGATCGTCTTGACAGATGATGAGATTTTTCTGTGTGCCCCGGAGGGGTTGTTTACCCCTCAGGAAAACGCCCACAAAAAGGGATTGATTTCCCACATCGTTGCATATGGCTTATAATAATGGAAAATATTGTCATATCTTCGAAATGAAATCTATGTGGGATGGGGGTGCCTGAAAATTCCTCCATTCCACACACGTGTACGGATTGATATTCTGTGGCTTTCACTCGACAAATAAATGGAATCCTATCTATGCTACCGTTTCCCAAACCGAGGGGGGATATCTTTGGTCTAAGATCTCGTGGTCGCAGTCCCAATTCATTAATGAAAAATGAATCGGCTTATTGGGAATGCCTTCATTTGATTAAATTAGACTAATAATGTGTAAAGTATGGGCAGTTCGAGTGGTCTCTAGTGGTCTCCAGTGGTTGGCCCACCAAAGCAGACCAAAAGCCGATTAGCTTGAAACTCTTTCCAGTGAAAGTTTATGGCCTTAAAATAAAACGAAGTCAAATTCTTACAAATTAATACAAGGCCGAGAGAAACAACCACTCCACTCCACACACAAAAGTATGTTGCTCGGTAAATGTAAGCGGAAAAAATGTTGTAAAATGTTAAAACAAACAAATGGGAACTGGTGGGGAAAAAGGCCGAAAATTATGTTTGAAAATGTCGAAAATTATGTTTTAAAAAATCTACAAACAAAAAAAAAAAGAAAAAAACTCATGTTAAGAAAGATGTTAAAAACTGTAAAATGCTTTGTGAATTTATAATGGAAACCGCAGCAGCAGCCACGCCTCCACACCAGCAGCC